CAGTTCTCTGCATGCGTTATGGATGAACTGACGCGGGTTTGCAACATCCCCTGAAGTCTCCTTCAGCTCTGTGGATGGGAGCTGTGAGCACCAATCCTCCCCGGTGCTTTTGGCTCGGGGTTGGAGCTCCTCGTGCTGCCCGGTCTCCCCCCACACGGCTGTTGTTTCAGCTGCCATCAGCGCCCAGCGCTATCGCTGCTCTGCCGGCGCCCACAGCAGCCTCTGCTCGGCCAAATGGCACGAGATGCATTTCTGGAGATGGCTCCATCCCCACGCGGACGGCACGTCCCTGCTCGGCGGATATCCGGCCGTTCCTCTCCGCTCGGCTTTGATGGCTGCGGTTGCGACCCCCGGCTGGGAGCCCGCACACGGCGCAGCTCGGGAGCTCCCCAGCTTCCCGCGAACGCCCTGATCGTGGCTTCCTCTGCGCCCTCCCAGCCGTCACCTCTCTTCTTCCCCGGTTCCCTGACGGAGGTCGGTTCGCGTCCCTCCTCAGCCCCAGTTTTCAGCTCTGTGTTATGAACGTGCATTTGCTGAAGGAAGGAAACCACCAGCGTTCCCCCGCGGCCGCTGTCAGCAACAGAGCTGGCGTTCGGGAGCCGGAAGGCGGTCTCAGCAGATCCGTGGAGGTCCGTGCAGGTGCCGCTCAGACTTCTCCTTCCCTGCTTCTTTTTGCCCTCCCTCCCCTCGGTACTTCTCAAGTACTAATGGGGAGATAAGTTGGAAACTTGGTGGAGCTTAACTAGAAATAGAGGGCTTTAAATCTCAAGTGCTTACAAGGTGTGACCAAGTGGAAATGCAGCTTTTGTTCAGCTTAAGCTCCTCCGAAACCCGGGTGCAGGGATGAGCTGCTCCGTGTTTCTCTTGCATTTTCTGGGATAATATTCATCCTGAAATCTCAGGCTGAGGGAGATGAGGAGCTCAGGCAGCTGCTGTGGCTGTAAGGATCGGGTGTGGGGCTGCAGGGCGATGGGGCAGAATAGCAGACCGTGGTGCAGCTGTGGGGTGGGTGCAGGGGCACAGCTGTGGGGAAATGCATGTTGGGGTGCAGTGGGTGGAGGAGCCGAGTGTGAGCCCTCCATCCTGCTGCTTCCCAAGCCCTCTTCCAAGAGGGAAATTCTTCTTTTTAGCCATTTTGGCAAAGGATCTGTAGGGAAAGCCTCACAGCACAGCTTGGACCTGGGCAGCGGGTAAATCCCTGTCCATCTGCTTCTTACTGGAGCCAGCTGCCAGCTCCGAATGATGGGCAGTCAGTGTGGGACAGGGCATTTTGCTGATTGATGGCTGCTTCCCTTCATCCGAATTCCTTACGTTTGCCCCCGTCTTGCTTGGGCCTCGAGGAGGACACAGTGCATCCATCTGCACCCGCAGGGAGACTTTGGAGGGAGGTGTCAGGCAGAGCAGATTCACCTGTTTATGTGACCTGTTTGATTTTTCTTATGTAAATATATAAATATATAAATATACATATATAAAATCTGCAGGTGATGACTCAGTAAAATGTTGGTGTTTCCTGGGAAATAGCTGAGGTCGTTATTTTCTTTCTGTGGTATTTTTCTCCAGTTGCCATGGAAATGCTTTCAGGAGGGCTCTGTTCTGCAGTCGGGGAAAGGCTCGAGAGTTTGTGTGCCGTCCTGGATGCTCTGCTGGGCTCCGTGGGGCCCTCCCTGCCCCCCAGGCACCGCTTTGCACTGGAGAATGGAAGGTTTTGGTGTTCTGTTTTGTTGTTAGGGAGATAGAGGGGAAAGCCACTCAGGTGCTTCTGGGCGGGATGCAGACCCCCCTTGGCAGGGCACAACCACTCCAGGTGTGCCCACACGGCCCCTGTGTGTGTATGTCCAGTGCTGATGGCCCATTCTGTGCTTCTGTGGCACACAGCACCCAAGTTAGAAGAGACCCATTAAGGATCGATTCCAACTCCTGGGTTGTGGCACAGTCACTGTGCAGTCGGGGCTGGAGGAAGGCAGGAACGAAAGCCTGGTGAGCTCTGTGCAAGGCGTGCCAGGGTGTTTGGTAGCATCCCATCACCCTACTGTGGGGAGTGGGGGTGCACAGCCCACGTGAGCGCTGGGCTGGGCTTGGGGTGCTCCCCCAGCATGCGTGGGGGAAGGGAGGTGAATGGGATGGATGTTTTCTTTCTTCTGCGGACAAATTCGGGGTGTTCTGTGTGCCCGTGCCCCCAGCCCCGCTCGCCCCCCCGCTCCCCGCCGTGTTGTTTTGCAGCACGGTGTTTGTTTGCTGCTTCTCCTGCTTTATGTGCTGCCAGCTCTCATCAACGTGCCGTGCTGTACAGCAACACACTGACACTGTGCCAACACAGAGCTAACAGGGGGTGATGTATCCAGGGCACCACGTCTGTGTGTCCGGTGGGGAGAGTGTCCTGGAGACACAATCCTGGATTTGTGCAGGATGAGCTGATGCCTGCATCTCTCTGCTTCTGGGTGCTGCTCATTTAATCATAGGATGTTTTCATTGTAATTAGTCACTGCTGCTACTGATGAGGAGATTAGCAGACTTCACTTTAGATATATATATATATATATAAACATTACCTGAGATATTTGAAGCATCTGTTTGAACATTTTGTGAACGAACGTTTCCGTGTTCTTCTTCAGGCTGACTTATTTATATTTTCCTATTCCAATATGGGGTACAGAGCAAATGGATGAGGGAGTAGGGGCTGGCATGAAGAGCAGGGCTTTCAGAACACTGGAGTTGGCCACATCTGAAACTCTTCCATCTACTTTGAGATGACAGTTTTAATTCCCACTGGATGGAAAAGCCACTTCCCTGCAGGATTTCAGTGCTGCCAAAGGGAGGATGCTTCAGACACGCCTGTGATTTCCCGAAGGCAGCAGCACCTTCTGAGCAGCCTCATTATCTGTGCACGTGGCTCCTTGGGAATCCCATAGCTGGGCTTTGGCGTTGCCCCCAGGCTCTGAGTCCCTGCAGGGTGAGCATCCCCTCGGGCGGGCACACAGCGCAACCCAGCTCCATCCCCACAGATAATTCCCAGGTGTGTGAAGGCACCGCTCATGGCACAGCGGTGATGCGTCCTTTGGAAGGGATGTGGAGCCCCGTGAGCTGCACCATGGGAATTGCCCACATGGGAGCACCCCAAGGAAACCCTCTGTGTAACTCACAGCACCCATCTGCTGCCTTGGGACCTGCTGTTTCCCAGTGCAGAATAATTCTTCGGGATGCTCCTTTCCTGCGACAGCTCTGGGCTGTGCTGGGGATGCACATCTTCTGCCTGGAGAGAGGAGGCTTGCCTGCCTGCTTCAGTCTGTTTGGACCATTAATATCTCAGGTTTTTATTATTAATTCTCCATTGAGTTTCAGGAGATCCTGCTCCGCTTTCACAATGTGCGCTCAGCATCTCAGGTGTTTGGATTATTTTCCTGCGAAGGAAATAGGAAAGATCACATGGAGCAGCAGCAGAGGGCAGGAGGCTTTTTGGGTACAACTCAGTAAGGAGGAGGGGCTGGTGGGCACATGGCAGGCAGTGCAGGGCTCCCCACTGTGCCTGGAGCACGCTGCTCCCTACAGCACTGCTGCTGCAGTGGTGAGAGCTCTGCTGCTGCGGCATGGGGGCACTTCTACCTGAGCTGGCATTTTTGGGAACTGATGTAGACTTTCAGCTGTTTAAAATTGTCCTGAATTGCAGCTTGGTGTATGGGTTCCCAGCCTGTTTGTTACTTCGTGTCCGAGTTCCTCCCACAGGGATGGGATGTTCAACCAGCACTGTGTTTCATACTGGGAGCCGAGTGTTGGCACTTGAGCTCCAGGTCTTGTCAGGTGTGTGCTTGGCAGATGCCAGCCAAGGGGATGCTCATCCACCAGGATGTCTGAGGCGCAGGAAGCATTCAAATCCCCCTTTTCTCCTTTTCAATTATTTTTCTCTGTTGATGCTGCCATTTCCTGCTCTGCCACCTGGGGACTGCTGCTTTGTCATCACAAAGTCCCACCAGGACCTCCGCAGGTCCTCTGGGACTGCTGCACTGCTGAGATAACGTCAGAGCAGTTTGAGTCCCCAGCTGCCACCGCATTGGGGTGGAGGAACTCGAGCTAAACAGGCTCGGCCAGCTGTGGCTGGAGACTTCAACACACAGAAACAGCAGGGGCTGGAAGCCCATGGGGATTTAACTGTTTATAGACAGCATATAGCCATAAAACCTTTGGTTTCTCCTGTCTCTGAAGCAGAGCTGACGATGCTCTGAGCAGGACCGAGGCACCAAGCCTTTGGGCTCCCACGCTGCCTGCTGAGGCTGGGACCTGCAGCTTCTGTGGCGCCGTGGCTGTGCTGTGCTTGTGGCTGTGCCTTGGGGTTAAATGGGGAGAAGGGCTTTGGGTTGAGATCTCCTGATGATGCTGGTGGTGAAGCCTGATCCCAAGCAGACTGCAGCACTGGTTTTGTCTTCTGCCATATGTTTTCCAATTATGCCCGCCCACCTGCCACGGAAAGCGCAGCGCTTGGTGTCTGCAGGCATTGTTGGGAACCCCCTGTGAAGCGTGTCAGAAAAACACAAAAGGCATTTGTTTGGGTCCAAGATTGCTGGAAGTCAGTTTGCTGGTTTTTTCTTTTTCTGTTTTTAGGTTGCCTGGCTGAAACTCTGGGATTGGGCCCTTCTGCAGTAGTGGTGTTCAGGTCTCCTGATAGTGAGTTTTTGGGAGGTATTTCAGTTATAGCACCCAAAGTCTCTGCTCTAGAAAGGTTTAGCTTAAATCGTTTGGTTCATGACACTTTGACATAAACCTACTGCTAACGCTGCCATGATGCAAAGTCCACATCTGGATTCACTCCTCAGTTTCCAACGGATGTATAAGCATGAAATATCTAATGGTGTTTTCCTTCTCTCTCCTGGGCTTCAAGTGAGCTATCGCCACGTTGTCCCGCTGCCATCAGCCTCACGTTCCCACACCTGTGCTATTTGGGCTGGCTGTGTTTCCAGGTGTATTTTCCAAATGGACAATGAACCGTTCCACCCCTTCTTTTCCAGCCAGAGGAGCTCACCAATGCCTTGGAGATCAGCAACATCGTCTTCACGAGCCTCTTTGCCCTGGAGATGCTGCTCAAAGTCCTCGTTTACGGCCCCTTTGGCTACATTAAGAACCCATACAACATCTTTGATGGGATCATCGTGGTGATTAGGTACAAACCTAGAGCTTCCCTTCATTTGGCTAGCCCATTAAAATGGAACCTAATGGTGAGTGGGCATAACTGCCTTCCTATGGCGCTTCTCTCTGCTGTAAGTTAACACAATCAGACACAGTTGCTAATAGATGCTTTGAGGTTATTTTCTGGTCGTTTCAGAGAGAGGCCCATGCAGAAAGCTATGTGTCTTGGGAGAGTCTGGGACCCAAATGGCACAACGAGTGCCCAGTGAAATAACTGCTTTTGGGCACGTACGGAACTGTGGTTGCAGCTGAGGGCTGCTGACCCTGGGTTCAGCCCCAGGAGGCGCTGGCAGCTCCTCTCTGCCCATGGTCTCCCGCTCCCCATCTCTCTTCCCTCCGAATTCCCCCCTCTCCTTTGCTTCTTCTCCCCATGCCTTCGTGCCAGGTGTTCTCTGCCCATCCCACAACGAACTCTTTTCCTCTCAGCGTGTGGGAGATCGTGGGGCAGCAAGGCGGGGGGCTCTCAGTGCTGCGGACCTTCCGGCTCATGCGGGTTCTGAAGCTGGTGCGCTTCATGCCAGCCCTGCAGCGGCAGCTTGTTGTCCTCATGAAGACCATGGACAACGTGGCCACCTTCTGCATGCTGCTGATGCTCTTCATCTTCATATTTAGGTGGGCGCTTGGTGAGAGCTCTGCGTTCCGGGGTGTTCAGTGGGATCCCATGGGGATGCGAGGGGACCGTGCTGGGGCATTTCTGAGCTCAGAGTCCCAGCGCAGCACTGGCAGAGGTTTGATGACAATCTTCTTTTAATTCTGGCCAAATCAGACATCTGTCTTCGCGAGATGATTTGCAAGGAAAATCCTTCGTCTGGATGATTCCTTGACACCACCCTGAGACATCTGTCCCATTACACGCAGACGAGCCTGGTGCTGAGAATATTGTTAAGGAAGAGGGCAATGTTGCTAAAATAAAGGCAGCAGAAGTGGTGCTCGTGCTCTGGCACGGCCTCCTCAGAGAAGTCAAGTTCTGCAGTGGGAATGCTAGAAATAGGTTTGGGTTTGGGTTTCAACTCAAGGCCGTGTAACATCCAGTCCTCCAGTGTCCCAGTGCTGGAAGGCTGATGAAAGCTGCTCTGTGCAGTAATGATCCTTTTCCCAGTGAGGCATTTTGCTCTGAAGCACTGTTTGCTGCCACGATGCTGAACAGAGCTGTGAATAATGTGATTATGCAGGTTACTGGCCGAGAGCAGGGGAAGATAAATTATTCCTTTAGCATCAATCTGAAATGAAAGGTATTCTGTTTTCATGTCAGAATTGGAAAAGATGTGGTGAGCCCCCTGATACGCTCCGTTCAGGCTTTTCGCAGGAACCCTTTTTGTCTTCCCCGCTCAGTTTAAGTGTGTTGTGCTGAAAATTGTGTCATCGCAAAGCGGAAAGTCAAAACATTTTGTTTAGAAAGAGCTGAAACAAAATGTTGTGGCTGACGAAACACAAAGGAAAAGAAAAGGAAGGGCTCACTTTCTGAAGCCGTGCGACACGGTTGACCCAAATTCACTCTCAGTTTGCACGTTCTCTAGGAGTGCTTTTCAGTGAAGGAGTGACTCATCTTTTAAAGATGGGACGCAGGGCTCTGCTGGAGCTGGGGGCAGTGATGCAGGGCAGCCCCGGCTCAGCACTGCGCTCTCCTCGCAGCATTCTGGGGATGCACCTCTTTGGCTGCAAGTTCGCTTCCGAGCGGGACGGCGACACTCTGCCCGACAGGAAGAACTTCGACTCCTTGCTCTGGGCCATCGTCACTGTTTTCCAGGTACAGAGCAGAGAGCAGCCCGACCTGCTGCCCTCTGGGGCTGTGGGGGGGTGGGGGGTGGCTGCAGCACGGCTCGGCGGAGCTCCTGTTGCAGGCATTGAGATAGGGACGTTAGTTACAGCTAGGGGTCACGTCCAAACCTGGGATGCTTGCCTGCAGACTGCTCACCCAGAGCAGATGCCAGCGTGCTGCTCTCTGTCTGACTCTCCTGAGGCATTTTCTCTGCAGATTTTGACCCAGGAAGACTGGAACAAGGTCCTCTACAACGGCATGGCATCCACCTCCTCCTGGGCAGCACTCTACTTCATTGCCCTCATGACGTTTGGGAATTACGTTCTCTTCAACCTGCTGGTGGCCATCCTGGTGGAGGGTTTCCAGACGGAGGTAATGTTCTCTCACTCATGCCTTTGTTGGCTTTGAGTGTTTCAGAGCCTGCAGACCTGCAGCAGGAATGTGATTTCCAAAGTGGGCAGCAGCACATTTACCAGAGTGGTACATGAAAAGAAGTGGGGAAAAATATGAGGTCTTTTTTTTTTCCCTTCTTTCTGCTTAGCCAAGGCACAGTTTAATACAGCCAGTCCTTTAAATGAAGGGCTTAAATGAAAAGCATTGTTAGCGTTAATGCAGGAGGGAGAACTCAGCGGTGAGTCAGGCACTGCAGATGGGATAACTGCTATGACAGTGCCTTTGAAACAGTTCTCTCCATGTTTGTGAGCCAGATTAAAACCCTTCCTGAAAACTTACGCAGGCTGCTGGGAGATTAGGAGCATGATTAACTTCTTTGGCAGCGCGTGCTCATGGAGCTCCTCCTGCTTCCAGCACCGCAATGGTCTCCATTTTAAGGCACCTGGTCCTCACCCCCGCCAGCTCCACTCGGCACCCCAAGGTGCTGTGGGCTTTTGGGAAGGTTGGGGGGTGAGCGTGGAGCTGCAATTTCTGTGTCTGCAATTTCTGGAGCTGCCCAGCTGGGAGCTGCACCCCAAAACGGGGACCTGCGGTGCCCACCCACCCCACAGGAGTTGTGCAGAGGGATGGGGGGCTGCGTCCTGCCGGGGACTGGAGGGGGAGCAGCAGCCCAAAGCTGTTTGCTGGGGCTGCTTCTGTGCCTGCGCCTTTACATACTGTCTCCGCTGTTGATAAGCGAGCCGGAGCAGCGGAATATTATTTAAGATTTGTTGCCCCTGTGTCCTAATATCCTGCCAGCCTGGGAACAGCTATGCACAGAACCGTATTTATTTTTATTATTGTTATTATTTTTGCAGTGCAATCTAGAGTTACGTTAATGGAATCGTACCAGGAGATAGCTAGAAGAAATTCTCTCATTTTTCTGTATCGTCTCTCTCTGTGTCGGTGTTTTCTTGTTTAATTGTTACTGCTGTGGCCGTTTCTCTCTGTACTCTTCCCCCCCCCCCCGCCCCGTTCAGCCTGAAGGGAAGGTCACCGCCAGGTTCTCTTCCATAGCACAGTGTTCCTTTGCCTGAGTGAGAAGAAGTAGAAGGCTCCTTGGCTGCTCGCAGAGCGATGACGGCTTCGAAACCAAACCTTTGTCTGTTCAGCCAAGCAAATTGATTCTCTGAAGGTCGCCTGAGTGGCGGAGCCCCGTGTCTCACCCGAGGCTCAGCCCTGCTGCGCAGCCACCCCTTCCTCACCGCACTGTCCCTAGGGGAGGTGCCCCCCCGGCCCCGCCGCCTGTTTGGTGCTGGAGCACATGGCACTTTGCTTGCTTTTGGCTGGCAGCGATTTCCCCCGCTCGCTTGCCGCCAGCTGGCTCCGCAGCACCGCTCGCTGTCATTCACCGCAACGCGCTGCGGTTTTGTTCCCATGACCGCAGCTTTAAGGGCGCCTCTCTGTTGAGCCGGCATCGAGGGGCGAGCGCCGAGCGCCGGGACCACGGCCCAGCACAGCCTCCTTCTCTGCCCCGTGGGCAATGGCTCTGCCCAACCACTGTGATTTTGATGGCCTTGCACCTGATTCATGCAATTAACCACTTTGCTTGCAGTGCTGTTTTGTATCGCAGGCTTTTAGAGAGGTGTTTTACTCATCATCTTCCTTTCACATCCTGGTTATTCTGAGCACTCAGCGCTCCTCCGGTAAATGGGGACGTGTGAAAGAGGAGCTCAGCAGGAGCTGCTGGGGCCTGGAGCCCACGAGTGGCATCCAGCACAGCCACAGCACCCGGCCCTCAGCGCTCTGCATCCCTGCAGCTCTGCAGCTCCCACACACCTCTCCTTCTGGGCTTTAATAGAGAGTGCACGAAGGATCCTCTCCTCAGCAACATTAATAGAGAGATCATCTCTCCCTGTAAACAAACCCCTTGTCCCTCTCCAGCCCTTGCACTCAACCCTTCCTCTGAGCGAGGTGTTTTTCCATTCTCTTTCAGCTTTCCAGGCTGAAACACAATCTCAGGGAGGCTGCCTTTATCTCCCCAGTCCTTGACTGCCTTTCCTCAATCTGCAAGCACCTCGTTAATTTTAGTGCACGGCTTTGCAGCCCCAGTTGCTAGGCAGCAGATGTATATAAGCAATCGGGAAAGAAGAAGGAGCTGTTCCAAACTTTGAATATGGAGCAATATATTTTGCCGAGTTGATTTTCTCCCCCTATTTTTGCTTCTATTTTGTGACCTGCTCCGTCGGTGCAGGGGCAGCTCAGGACGTGACGCAGCGCGGCTATTTTTGGGTGCACGTTCTCTGGTTGAGCTCAGGCCGGGCGTCTGTGAGGGGAAGGTGAGCGGGGGACCCCGTTTGATGGAGCTGCTCATTTGAAATCGCTGCCTGAGCGCAGGTCTCTGCCCTGGGGATTTCTCTCTGAAGCTAACAATGGCTCCTCTCTGTCAGACACAAAGCTCCTCTCACGAGGGACTCCCTGACAGCGTTATCTCCAAAGCGTGTTCTTCCATTGGCGATCCTCCCGGCCTTCTATTGCCTCGTCCTCACTCCCAGCTCTGCCCCTTTCCCTGCCTTGTGCCCTAATTGCTCCCTGGTGCCCCGAGGCCACCCCAGCCCCATGCTCACCCTGCACGGTGTTGCAGTGCTCTGGCTGCGGTGGCAGAACCCGCAGAAAGCAGGACTTGGACTTCAACCAAAGGACTGAAGCCCATTTTCCCCATGTGCAGACTTCTGAATGGTGTTTTTGTTACATCCCGTATCTTTTGCACCCCTATCGATTTCACTGGGATTGTCTTTGTGAAGGAAGTGTTTCCGTGGTTTCTTCTGATGGCTTTTCCTCCTCCTCCTCTCTTACAGTCAAAGACTTTAAATTAAGTGTCCGTGGCTAGCAAGACCCCATGTCCCGTTCAGCCCCCTGAACTGATCAGAGAATCGTAGAAAACTCCAAGGACTCAGCCTTTCTTAAACTCTTCATCCCACACCAGCTGGGAGCAGGGCGCGTTCCCCTTCTGTGGGTTGCAGTCTGGAGCACTGCCCCAAGGAGCAGGGAGGGCGAGCAGTGAGCGTGCCCAGGGCCACACATCTCACCCCAAGCTGATGAGCAAAGGGCCACGAGTGCTGCTGCTTCTCCAGTGGGCCGGGAGGCACTGAGTCGTGGTGCTGAGAAGAGGTGCTGGAGGATTTCACCTGGCTGTGAGAGGGCTGATGTTGTGTTAATCAAACATTCATTAGAAGCCTCCGCTGCTGCCTAATGATGGCATAATAAATAAAGATCCCATTATGCAGCTGCAAAAAGAAAAGAAGAAATCGTGTTTTCGATAATTAGCTGGTGTTTCATTAGCGCAATTATCACTTCGGAGCTGCATCAAGCTCTCGGTCTGAAACACTTAATTTAAAGGTAAGGCTGGCCTCGTCGGGGCTGCTCCCCCGGCCCTCCATCGTGGCCGCACGCCGCCCTTCTCCATCCGCCTTTCTCTGTCTCCTCCCTGCCTCTCCTCGTGTTGTTTTTGGTTGTTTTTGTTTTTTTTTTACTTCCCTCTCATTTCTGCTGTCGAAACTGTGAAAATTGAACCCTCCTTCCCCTTCCTCCCCCTTCCCTGCCCTGTTTCTCCTTCAGGAGATCTCCAAGCGGGAAGATGCCGGGGGGCAGCTGAGCTGTATTCAGCTGCCGGGCGACTCGGCGGCGGTACGTACGGCCACGCATGAGCCTCCCACACCCCCATGGCTGTGTTCCTCGTGGTGCCTGGTCACACACCGTGCTGCCGTCCTCATCGTCGTTGCTGTCGTGCTGTCAGGGGTTGTTGGGATATCATTCTTTTCCTTTCGTTGTCCTCACTGTTGAGTCAGCCTCAGTTTTAAGTTCCTTCCTTCTCTTGGGGAGCTGGAGGAATGAAGGTGGGTGCTCTGGAGAGCAGGGTGGCTCCAGGCTCAGCTCTCTGTGCAGCCTTGCAGTGAGGTGAGCTCATCCATGGGGCTTGCAGCAGATGGGACTGTAGCAGTGTGCTCACACCCATGCTGGTCGGGCAGTGCTGCTGGTCCTCAGGCACTTCCGCTCCCTGCATCCCACATGGGGCACTGAAGGGACCTGGAATCAAGTTGGAGCATGCGAGAACCCCATGCTCTGTAGGGTGAGGTCAGTCAGAGACACCTGAGCATCCAGGGTTGGGATGTGGGGTTGGGATGTGCAGGGGGCTGAGGGCGCTGCACATCCCACAAGTGCAGCACACTCCGAGCCTTGCTCAGGTGCCGGTTGCGTGTTTCTCTTCACCACTGCCTTCCCCTTCTGCCATCTCCGAGAAGTCTGGCTCTTCCTTCAGCACAAAATCCTTTCCTGCCTTATCTGAATGCATCCTGTCATCTTGGGTACACGCTGGCAGAGCTGCTGTGCCCTGGGGTCCCTCTGGACATGCCCTTCTTTCCCAGAAAGATTGTAACTCCCTCTTCTCTCACAACCCCTTTTCTATCCAGAAAGGCAAGCTGGGAGTGCAGGAGCAGGTAATGGGCAGCGCGCTGGGGCTGGCACTCACTGCTTGCAGGAGATGCTTCTGCTCCCAGATGTGGGGTTTGGTGCTGGGGGAGTTCCCGTGCAGCTCAGCTTTCCCATCTCTGCACATGCTGTGCACCCTCACACTTTCCTCTGGGCTGTTGCAGAGCACTCCAGAAATGCAGCCCTGCATTGCTGTGCTTTCCTGCAGGCTGGGACCCCAGTGGGTTTTCCCACTTCCTGGCACCCGAGCACCAAACCTCCATGGGGCACCGGGGACAGCTTGGCCTTGCTGGGGTTCTGGGCTCCTGGTTCCTTCCAGCTAAGGGAGACTTTGCTTGGCTTCCACCCCAGCACCCACCCCCCATCCCACCCCACCACACCACCCACCTGATGTGCATCATGCTGGGGTTTGGTGCCGTTTGCCAGAAAAACATTTTTAGCCCCAAATCCTCCCCTGGTGGACTGGCATGGTTCTGGCGAGCACCTTTTCCTGCCGGATGGACGCTCACTATACCACACCCTAAGCACCTTTCTGCAGAGCCAATGGACAGAAGCGTGCAGGGAAGTCCCTCAGCAGGTGCTCGCCATGAGATGGAGCGAGCGCACTGTGAGCCGTGGTAAACCTCAGCCCTTCTCCAGGGGCTGAGCCTGGGTTCTCGGCAGCTCTCAGGATTCAAAATTCATCTCAATCCTCCAAACCTATGTTGTGTTGCAGCTGGACCTGCTGGCCACCCAGGGGCAGACATTGGATCCTCTCTGCACAACTGGGGCTTCCATAAAACGTGTGTCCATGGCTGCATTGCAAAGTCAGCGTCCTGAGTCCTTGGTGGCTTCTTTACCATCACCAGGAAGCCAGGGGATCGCCCACACCTGGGGAGTTTCAAGCCATGGTGTATAAATTGAGAGAGATGAGTAGGGTCAACTTTTGTCCAGACGTTGCTCATCCTTCCCTGACATCGGTGTGCGATTCTCACAGCACAAAAACAGAAGCAGTGCATTTTTTATTTTTTATTTCCCTGATCCCGTTCTGGGGCTGCTTTTGGAATCAGAGGCAGCCAGTCTTCCTGGTAGGAGGTTAATTAGTCTGTGGTATAAATATGTGCATGCCTCATTTTGTGAAAGGTGGTGTTGCATCGTGGTACACAGCTCGGTGGATCTGTAGGTGTGGTGTTGGCAATGCGGTCCCGTGTGTTTGAGGGGTGTTTGTGCGGGCAGCCCCTCACCCCCCGGCTGAAGCTCTGTTTGCTGCAGGGGGATGCGTCCAAATCCGACTCAGAGGGCGAGCTCTTCCTCCGCAGCCTGGAAGAGGAGGGTGGACTGAAGAAAAACTTGTCAAACCCAGTCTGTGAGTACGGCCCCGGGACACCTGCCCTGCTGCACAACCCCCTCCGCTGTGAAAACAGCATATCCTGGATGGGAAAACCCTCCTGGGGACAATGCCTTCATCTCAGCTGTGGCACGCTCTGTCCAGCTGGAAGACTGTGCTGCAGAGCTGGGAGCGTAAGATGCAGGCAAAGGAAATGTGATGGCATTCAGATCTGAAATCCATTCTATTGGAGTGTCCTCACAGGGGCACAAGTAGAGGAGCCCCGAGAGTGTGGGAAAGAGGAGGAGGGAGAGCAGGCAGGGAGCCCAGTGCAGCCAGGGTCTGCAGAGGAGGAGCAGGTGGGTGCTGGTGGAAGGTTAGGGGTCACACGTAAGGGATCTGCTCTCTTTGTTGGTACCCAATCCCATTCTCAACCTCCTGCTTTTCCCCGCCATGCTGTCGGAAAACTCTCAGCCCCCGGATGGCTCTTAGTCCCCTTCCTGCTGATGCACGGAGGAGAAACATACACTATGCAGCAGCTCTGCCCACCCAAGGGCAGGCTGTGTGCATGCCCACAGCAGCGGGACCCTAAAACCTGCCTTGTGTCTTCCAGTGGTGGCCCTGAGCGAGCACCCAGAGCTGAAGAAAAGCCTCACCCCACCGCTCATCATCCACACTGCAGCCACGCCGATGCCCATGCCCAAGAGCGCCGTGTTTGGGGATGCAGCGCAAGGCTATGAGTCGCGCCGGGCCAGTGGCGTCTCCATGGACCCTGCTGCCTACGAGCTCAAATCCCCGGTAAGGGCATCCTGTGCTTCCTGCGGTCGCCCAGCGAACATTCGTGGGGCGCACGTGGCGGCTCTGAGCGGCGCCCATCCGCCTGCCCACGCCACGAGAACGGCCTGGCAGGGGCGGGCGGCACGGGCTGACGCCATCCCTGTCCCGCAGCCCAGCGCCCGCAGCTCCCCGCACAGCCCCTGGAGCGCCGGCAGCAGCTGGCCCAGCCGCCGCTCCAGCTGGAACAGCATCGGCCGGGCGCCCAGCCTCAAGCGGCGCGGCCAGAGCGGAGAGCGCAGGTCCCTGCTGTCCGGGGAGGGCAAGGAGAGCTCAGAAGACGGGGAGAGCTCGGATGAGGAGCATTCCAGCCGGGCCGGCAGCGTCAACGGCTCCTTACATCATCGCATGGAGTCGCTGGAAGCAAAGGGCTCCTTTGACCTCCAGGACACCCTGCAGGTGCCTTCGCTGTATCGGACCGGCAGCGTGCACAGCAGTCGCACCTCTGCCTCCGAGCACCAGGACTGCAATGGGAAAACCTCTCCCGGCCTACTGGTCCATCAGCTCCACCTGGACGACCCTCGGCCAGACTGCGACGATGCTGATGATGAAGGCAACATGGTAAGGAAGTGCTAAACGCTTGGTCTGGGCTTTTGTTGCTCATCCAAGTGCCATCTGTAGCTCTTGGAAGTATGCTGGTGGGCACAAAGCCACAGCCAAGGCAGGGTCTGAATGTCACCGCCGCCGCAGCTGGGGGTCACCTGGAGCAGTCTGGGCGGTGGTGTGACGTTAAATGGCTCAGTGCCGTGTCAGAGCATTCCGGATGGACACATCAGGTTCCAGACAAACGCGTGGGGCCGTGGCTATCTTGGCCACCATCTCTGGAGGCGGTGGAAGTGTGTGGGCTAAGGACGTGGTTTTGTGGCGGTATGTCAGGCTGGTGGTTGAACTTGGTGATCTTGAGGGTTCTGTGATTTTACTCTATGATTGCACAAATCTGTTTTTTCCTTTCTTAATTTTTAATAAGTAAACATCCCTGCTCACCAGCCAGCATTTGGGTTTCGGCTGCCGTCCATAGGAACAGACAATCTCTGTTGACATCAACAGGCAGTGCAAAGGCAAGGTTTGGCCCACAAGTCCTCTGGAGGCATTAGTCCTGCAGAGATGGTGATAATTTCCAAGGCTTTGCATTAATTTCAATATGAAGAGGCATTAGTCCATGAGTGTCTCTCTTTCACAGGCCTGAAAAGTGCTATTTAGGAAATGTTAGCTAAAAGCATGGCAGCAGGAGAAGAAAAATCAGCTGTAATTTTGAGCTGATTAGAGCATCATCTCCAGCTTTGCATATTCTCTGCATCTGCACTTTCGAATCGTTGCACTTAACTTGCCATGTGCTGCCACTGCTCAAACGGTGTAGATGCCCCCAGACTGGGGAGGCAGGGAAGATGGGGCAGTGTGGCTGGAGTCTCAGGACAGGCTCATTTGGGGGCATTTTCAGTTCTTGAAGGTTCTCTCCTTGTTCTGTGGATTGAAAGATGCAGTGGTCGGATGGGATGTTTGATGGGTTGCTGACGGGTTTTGGGTACAGCCGCGTGATGGGAACCAGGGCAGTAATGAGGGCTGTAGCTTTTGGGCATGATTTTACTGTGTTTCACTGAGTTTGTTGAATGAAAATGGGATTTGGAGCATGTGAAAGAATGCGAAAGGCAGCAGTGACTCCAGAGAGCAACCAGGAGGAGAAAGAGAGCTTGTGCTGGCAGAATAGAGTCGCTCAGCCGTAAATCGCCTTTAAAACAAGCCATTATCCCATTACATCTCCAGCATGGATCCTCAGCCTGGGATTTTTACTGATTGTCTTAACCCGGTTTTTAACCTCCATAAAACAAATTGAATTTTTAAGAATAGGAGTGGTAATTATTTTTGGAAAAAACACTATTACAAGTGATCAAGGGACCGCACTCCTCTCGGCTGGCTGAGGATGGCAACGTGTGCTGATTTCTGGGCTCGCACGCCCTGCGGGTCCCTTCCTTTCCGCGGCGGCTCTCTGGCATCGGGCAGCTCGTGGTGGGACACGTCCCTCCTGCCCCCAGCCACGGCTCCCAGTGCTCTGCTCAATCAGATGCGTGTTTTTCATCTTTATTACGGCGGCTGTGTTTAGTGGAAACCAAATGTCTTCTTTCCGTGTGCTGAGCTCTGGCCAAGCAGGGTTAGACCAAAGCTCCTTGGATTTTCTTGCGTGGAGCTCAAACGCATGGGGAAAGGACAGGCAAGGAAAGGACAGGGTTACAGAGCACGCCCTGCGCCGGTGTGTCTGCTGGGCTGTCCTCAGCTGGCAGCTGCCCTTCTCCGTGCCCCGAGATGTGAACTCACTGCAAATCACTGCAGCAGATGGGTCAGAAGATATTGCTTAGATTGGTGAAACGGCTCTCCAGCTTGAGGAGCTTTCCTTTATGATTTACCCCTGACATTTTGGGGTTTTCTTAGCCCTTGTTTGAGCCTTGGCAGAGTCAGAAAAAAAATGTCATTATTTGGTTAAATTGAAAAAAATAAATTAGAACTCCCTTACCAACGGAAGAAGAAAGGAACTCAACTGTTATTCAGATCAAAGCAATCCTAAATATGCCCTTCTGCAACAAAGCTTAACAAGCTCTCCTTGCTGGACGGTTTTGATTGCTCTCACACAGAAATAAAGGCAGTGCGAAGGCTGCCTTTGGATCTCCCAGTCTCCTGTTATATCAGTGCTGCTCCTCCTCACAGAGGTTATCCGGAATTTGCACTGCTCAGAATCAGGCCCTGCCTGCTCTTCTCCCCTGAAGTGCGAAATCAGGGCAACAAAATCTGTTCTTTGTGGAACGAATGTAGGCAGGGAGGTCAGCCGTGCAGATCTGTGCCTCACTGAGCTGAGATCTGCTGCCTGGTGGGTTTGCATGGAGGACCCGGGCTGTGGGTCTGTGCTGGGGGATCTGCTGACCTGGGCCGTGTTACCACTCCCTGCTTGTGCCAGTTGCAAAACTTCTGTACTCTGGAAAGAGAAGAAAAACCCGAATGCTGAGTGCTCAGCGTGGGATTGAGGAGAACACCCGACGTGTCCCCTCCTCTCCTCCCAGGGGCAAAATCCCCATGGCACTCGCAGCTCTGATCCTCTCTGCCTATTGCACTTTTTCCTGGGCCGTTCTGCCGCTCCCCCAGACCACCCCAGCCTGCCCCTGCTGCACAGTTAAAACAAAATAATCCTGGGTCCTGAGCGCCTCTGTGCAGCTTCGAGCTTGCCTGGAGGTCTGTTGCTGCTCATAAAGTGTTTTTCAGCAGTTCCCCCCTATCCTTATAATAAATCTTTTATAAATCTAACCCTCTCCCTTACTCCAAGGAGTGCATCAGTCATCCTTTAATGCCAGCTGCCTTTCATCCTGCCCTCAGAACTACATTAATATCTGGAAGTTCTAAAAAAAGAAGCTATTTATCAGCAGCTCTCCTTAGCAGGGGCCGGGGGGGAACTGTGCTATGGGGCAAAGGCAGCCAACATCTCTGCATCCCGCTGTGCAGAGGGGGGGGCAGCCGGTGGCAGCCACTGGGGCTTTGGTGAAGCCACCAGCAGGCAAATTAAAGAGCAGTTTCTTCTCCCCGACCCCCCCCCCCCCCACTTGGTCTTTATTCATCTTGTCCAGGTGTGTTTTATGGACAAATAGATATGATTTAAATAACATAATTGATATATGGCTGGGAGCATAATGCAGGCTTGAGCAGCAATCAGGCTGATTGTGCGCCGTGGATGTGAGTCTGGACCTTGCAGAGGAAGCGTTTGAAGGGACTTGGGCTGGAAGCGCTCGCTTTTCATTTTGCAAACATCTTGCATTTGGCACAGATTATCAAACCGTGCCTTTCCACCCGTGGAAATGTGGAGTCATTCCTTTGCTTTAGATTCCCGTGGCTGTTCTCTGGGACAGCTCTTGGCCCTGCTCAGAGCGGCGCTGTGCTGCCCTCGTGCTGACACGCCGAGTGGGGCTGCGATGGAAGATCGCTTTCTGCCTTTGTTATCTGACTGAGCCCATGAACTGTGAGCTGCAACAATTAGACAAACCCCAAAATATCTCTGGCATTAGAATTGGACAAAAGGAATAGAAAGAAGCATTCTGTGCTGCTGACGCATTACCATTCACTACAAATCCCCATGATAAATACCAGAACTGCTTTGAATACTGGATACTCCTGGAAAGCTTCCAGCTTGCAAAATGAACTGGACAGAGCCCGGCGATGCTCTGTGTCCTGGGGCAGCAGTCCCTGCTCTGCCTGCGACTTCGAGCACACATCAGAGTTGATCCATTTATTTCCTTTTGTTACATCTATGGATAATTCAGCAGAGCGGGCTGCCTGGAGGGACAGCACAGCCCCAGGATGCGTGCTCTGTTAAAGATAGTTCAGAGCAAGGGGAGCTCATAAGGGGAGCTCATGCCTCCTTGTCTGGAGCTGGAAAAAGAATGTACAAACAGCCCTAGTGTGGCCAGAACCCACTGGTGCGCCGTGCTTGGGGTGTCTGGCATGGAAAGGGAGGGAATGATGAAGAGCTGAAGGAAGGTGGTAGGAAAATCCAGCTGGTTTGTTCCTCAGACCTCTCCTTTTCTGTTCACAAGGTTGTTTTCATTCCAGGAAGAGTTCAGGTTGTCACCAAGTGCTTTCATTAAGGTAGGCACTACACTAGCAATTACCCATCGCTAATGAGACCCCTGGCTGAGTGCATACAGTAGCAGAAAGCATTGCCTCCATTCCACTCAATTACCCTAACAAATCCCATTTTTAAGTCCAGAGGACCTCAGGTTGCTAACAATTTGACTCCAAGCGAGGACAGAATCCCCTCTTCCCCATTTCCAAGATGAAGCACATGCAGTGCCAGAGCCCTGCTCCTTGGGCATCATGTGTGGGAGTGGGGAAATAGGGGTAATGAATGAGCAAGAACTCACTTTAATTTGTCCGTGAACACGAAGCGCTGCAGTGATGTTGCATCACTGCTCTGTGGGTTCACCTCCTGGCCTCCCTTTGGACACCCAAGATGAGAAGACCTGACCCTGAGGCTGCTGCAGCCAGGACCAGGTGTTCCCTCGGCGCTGGATTTTCTTGTCTTCACTTGATCTGTTGGCCAAAGCATTACAGTCTGCCCTCCTGCCCTTAAACAACCTCACCAATGGTCTCAAATATGTGTGGCTGAGGATGCACTGTGGTTTCAAGGAGGAATTAATTCAGGGGAGTTGGATCACCGGCGCTCAGCCAGGAGGTCAGACAGGCCATGATGTTCCCATCTGCCTTCGTAATCCATGGCCTGATCTGGTCATGCTGAATGAGAGGCAGATGCTTGCCATTGTGTTCCTGCACTGAAATGCAGCTTCCAAATGGTTTCTTTGGCTTTCCAGTGGTGTGCAGACATAGGGCTTGGCCCAGCAGGCAACAGGAACACCTCAGAAGATTCAGGTAAGCACCTGCTGAGAAGCCAGAGGGTCTGTGGCTGAGCTGAGCAGGTTGTGGGTCTTCTTGGATGAGGGTTTTACTTGTCATCTCCATCCCTTTAGGTTGTCACATGCTGGATGCACTGTGCACAGCAGGCAGGAAGATGTGACCGCAGGGGTTCATGGCACCAGCACAGCCCTAACCCTACAGGTCCTTTAGGGGAAGGCTGTTTTCCTTTGGTTTTACTGAGTACCTGGGGATGTTTGTTTAGTTAAAAATTTCCCTGAGTCCTTTGCCTGGGAGATCTGGGGGCGTCAACTCTTCTCTCTGCTTTTCCTCCTGGTACATCTTTGTTCTCCGTTTTCCTTCTAGAGCAAAAGGGACCGCATGAAGGCCTGGGTACGGGCACATCTCCCCACCTGCTGCAAGGAGAGGGAATCCTGGTCCATCTATGTCTTCGCTCCTCATTCCAGGTATGGCAGCCTGTGTGATAGGGTGTGCAGGGCACCGATGCCTCAGAGAAATCTAACTTTGCACACAGTGCACGCTCAGAACACAGCAAAGGATCCTCCTTGCCCTGCCAAATCCTCCTCTCAGTGCAGACTTCTCTGTCCTCCCCTTTCTCTCTCTCCTCACCCAGAAGACCTGAGCACTGCCCTTCCTAAAGCCCAGCCCTGGGCTCCAAGATGCCAAACCCATTCTCTGGACACTGCCCGCACGTGATGAGAGTTTCCCGCGTTTGAGCTGATGGGTCCTGGGCAGCGTTGGGGTTCATTCATACAGAGATTAGAGAGATTTTCAGAAACAGACTTAGGGGAATGTAATATGGTATTATAAATCCTGGGTCAGTGTACAACCATCTGTCACAATAAATAGCTTCTGTTCCTTTGGTCGTGTGCACTCAGCCCTTACACTGGAGGTATTTAGAATCACAGAATGGTTGGGTTGGAGGGAACCTGGATCATTCAGCTCCAACCCCTCTGCCATGGGCAGGGTTGTTAACCACTAAATCAGGCACCAGACCAGGTTGTCCCAGACTCCATCCAACCATTTCTTCCTGTCTGTAAGCTAAAGCTGAACTCCACAGAGCAGGCAGGGCTCAGACCCACACCTGGATGCGTGTCTGAGCTGTGCAAGCAGCTGCTGTGCTTTGAGCAAGACTAAGTCCCCCATGGATGTTGCTGGGGCTGGAAATCTGTGGTTCTAATTTGAAATCGATCTTTGCAGCTTGAGTCCTTTCCTATTCATACCCAGATGTGCCTGCAGCATGGGGCTCTGCCAGGGAGGGGATTGCGGAACCGTGGCTCTTCTGCTCTGCAAACAGGGAGCTCAGTTCCCCGGCTGTGCTGGAGCTGCAGGAGCGCGCTGTGCTGTCCCCACCAGCTGAGTGCTAACAGCCTGTCTGTGCGCTGTCTTCTTCTCTCATTTCTTGGCAGGTTCCGTCTGATGTGCAATAAAATCATCACGCACAAGATGTTTGATCACATCGTTTTGGTGATCATCTTCCTCAACTGCATCACCATCGCCATGGAACGACCCAAAATCGAGCCTCACAGCGCCGTGAGTTTGAGTTTAATGTTTTCCATGTTCTTTGTGGAGGCAGCATGTGTGGTTCAGTCCCTGCTGCCGTGCATGGGGGCTCAGGCTTTTCTTTTTGAAGTGCAGAGCCGCCAGTGTCCGTGCAGAGGTGGGTGTGGGGTAGGTACAGGGTGATGCTGTCCAGAGAAGGCTTCTCCCCTCCTCCTGCTCCACGTGCCGCTGCTGCTCCTGGCCCTCCTGGTTCACAGAACAGGAGCAGAGCTCGTGGCCTGCCACGCATCGAGGCCCCCCATGCAATATCCCATTTCTGCAAGCATGATCAAGGCTTGAACACATGGCACAGGCACGACATCTGTCTCTGTTTCCTTCTCTGATCAACCTTCATTTCTTCCATCTGTTGTTCACGGGCACGTATGGATGGTGAGAAGGGAACAGGGGAAGCCATTCATTTTGTATTTTTCTCTCCCTTTTGTCTATGATCTTTGCTGTGACACAAGGAAAACTGCATTGACATGTGCACTGTAATCCCATTCCCCTGAACCATTCTGGTTTAATAGACTGTGTAGAGATTTTTCAAGCCAGACCCTCACAGCACCCACTTCCATCACTCAGAGGGGCAGAACCATCCGTTGCTCTTTTATTTTAGCATAGACTGTGGCTGAGATGTATGCTGGGCTCTTGCTGATGTATTCCAAAGACTGCTCATATCGCAATCGTATAGAGTCGCGGTTTGTTGTCGTAGGCGTGTCAGGCTGTTCATTTCCATGGATCTTCAATGTTAGACCTCAAAACCGGAGTCTTGGCTGCTCTGTGCCTATTTTAAGCTTTGCTCATAGTCCTCTTTACTGAATTGGAGGTCCCTCCCCTAGATCCATTTTTTCCCTTTGATTATCACGCAGCCACGATGCATCACCTCGCAGCTGTGAGACGAGAGCAGGGCTCCCTGCCAGCCAATGTGGCAGGAGGAAATCACCCCCTGCTCCCCAGATGGGACACCCTGGAGATCCCTTAGGCTTTCTTGAGCGCCTTGCAGTGTCCCATGAGACCTGCCAGCTCTGCCTCTGAGGCTCTTATGGGACTCCCTTCAGACCCCTCTTCTCTAGGCCAAAACAACCCAGCCACACTTCAAACGTCTTCTCTTCTAGACTCTTCATGATGTCTGCAGCCCTCCTTTGGGCACTCCATCCTAGCTGTGTATCTGTTTGTACTGTGGCACCCAGAGCTGCACACAGTGATGGTGGAGTGGCAGTGGTGTGGTGCAGAGCAGACAATTCCTTCCCTTGCCTGGCTGGTAACGTAGAGCTTGGTGCAACCCAGCAGCACCAGCAGTATCAGTCTGTAGCCAAAATGAAACTGAAGTGTGGCATCCAGGGCTGGGAGCTGAATTTGAGCCATGGTGTGGGTGCAGCAGAGAGGAGCAGGGCTGCCAGGAGCAGTGCCCGTGCCCTGCTCACAGGGACAGACCTCTCATCTGGAAACCCAGAGTCAGTTTAGCTTCAGTTGGTGAAAATAATTGTCCTTTGCCTCTCTGAGTTGTGGATTTTCTAGCTGCTTCACACAAGGTCTCATTCCCTGCCCCAGTTTCAGCTGGCTTATCAGAACGGGATGCTGCTGCCAGCCAACACGCGCTCCCCATCTCAGAGTGCACGACATGGGCTGCAGAGATTATCCTCCAACACAGCCACATGCTCACCAGGGAAGGCTGTAATATCCTCGTCTCTCCCCCACGATATTGTTGTTTTATCTCCAGCACCACCAGCAGTTCCCTGCCCTTCCCCACGCACCACCTGCCCTGCAGCACTCCTTTGTGTGCCCGGCAAAGACGGTTCCTATCGCAGCTCCTGCAATCACGCTGCAGGGCCAGGACCTCATTAATTATGGGCCCAGGATGGAAACAAACTGCTCTGTGGTTCCTGAGTCACTTTCAGTAAATCATGATCTGGCAAGTGAGAGGGTTGCCAAGGTGTTTTGTCCTGTTTGAATTGCATCTCATTTTGTTCGAGAGATCTGCTTCTCTTACAGGATGGCTCTGTAGGGAGCAGCAGAAATAAATCCCAAATTGTTATTAGCAGAACTGGGGCTGGTTCAATTGTATGCACACAGGCACGCTCACCACTTTCTTCCAACTTCCACCTTCTGCTGTCCATTTCTCAGTGCAGGCAATCAGAGATTGCTTAGGGATTAGGGAGAAGTGTAATTTATTTAATGATCATCATTAAAAGGAAAGGTTTCTGCTAACTACAGATAGGGAGCCAGGCCATGGTCTCATCTGTAATCACTAGCTGCTATTGCGGCACAGTGGCAGCGAGAACTGCACGGTCTGGTGGATAGTGCAGGGACTGGGAGATGAGATGAGGCTGTTGGGCTCCCTGCCCAGCTCCAGCCCATGGCTCTGGGCAGGAGAACGACCCTTTGGGGCAGCTCTCAGCTGGCGGCAGCCTCCAGAGCTCTGCTGGCTTCGGTGGAGCAGGGACAGGTCCTGGCAGCCGCGCTGCAGCCTCCCCTGGGCCCTGCTGGCCTTGCAGCACAGCCACGCTGACACTGACTTCACGTACTGGGAGTTGGGAGCGTGGTGGTATTTGCACTGTGCGTGATGTCTGCAGTGAGGGGCAGAGAGAGATTTGCCAAGTGGGTTCCAAGGGCAGCCGATGTCCCTGTGCCTGCTGGGGAGGCGGGTGGCAGTTCGGGGGCAGGTGGTGGCTTTGGGGTGAGGGGGGCTCTGAGGGCAGGGGGCCCGGTGCTGTCGCCGCTCCCCACATTGCTGACCCAGCCGCAGGCAGCACAGAACCACCGATGGCATTTGTCTAAAAGCGTCGTGTAAAGCGTTGTCTCTCCTTTCCTCTTCTGCAGGAACGGATCTTCCTAACGCTCTCTAACTACATCTTCACAGTGATCTTCCTGACTGAGATGACAGTTAAGGTAAATGAAGCCAGAGGGGAAGTGTGCCTGTATGATATTAGTGATGTTTTATTGCAGCGATGAGGGAGGCGAATGTTTTCATCTTCTGAACCATATTCGAATGCCCACCACAGCCTTACGCTGAGCGCTTTTTACATCGGAACAATCTCACTGAAGTTGCTCTTGATTTACACCATTATGGGATGCTTCCATTCAGCAATCCTCCCCTATTCAGCAAAGCTCTCCAGCACACGCTTAGCGTCAGCCATGCATGTAAGTCCCATTGTCTTCAACAACCCATTGTCCTCACAACCTAAGCAGCTCTGTGCCTTCCTGAGCAGGCAGAGACTGGAGCACAGCGAAACACTGTGCTGGGTTTGAGGCGGGAGGCTCACAAAACCCATTGCTGTAAATCTCTCTTGTGTAATTCATAACGATCTCGCAGAACAATTGCTCTCTGGAAAGCTTCTGGAGTTTCCATGTTTGCAAAGCTTGTAAATGGTTGCTTGGGTGAGCCACTCAGCACCTTTACTCCAGGAATCCATGGCAGTAAAACACCATCCACCTTTAGATGCCAGAGCAGAAGTTGTTAGTGACACTTCTGTGCAGCGTGTCTTAGCTGCATTAAAAATACAGCAGCTGTAAGGGACAACGTGGGGTGTATCTGCAGAGTTATTGTACAGTCCTTGAAATATAACACTTTGCTGATTTGTCTAATTAGGCTTCTATACTGGGAAGCAAATGGACTTGCAGACTCATATCTGTAAATAATGCATTCTCAGCAGGTTGCTAACGGGGAGAAAAGCATCAGATGCAAAAGTCGTAATTTGCTGCACCTTGTTGTCCGGGCAGGTGGTTGCACTGGGATTGTGTTTTGGGGAGAAAGCCTACCTGAAGAGCAGCTGGAACGTTCTGGATGGGGTGCTGGTCCTCATCTCTGTCATCGACATCCTCGTCTCGATGGTGTCAGACAGCGGCACGAAAATCCTGGGGATGCTGAGGGTGCTGAGGCTGCTGAGGACACTGCGGCCCTTAAGGTGAGCAGAGGGTGAAGGAGACCTTACAGAGCACGGGGGCTGTGCAGCAGTTGTGCAAGGGAAGGGACAGTGTTCTGCTGAGCCCTCAGCAGCTCCAGGCTCTTGCAGTGCTTTGGGAGCAGCCCCACGTGCAGCAGTGAGCTGATCGATGCCTCTTCTGCTCATTAAAACACACATCCCCTGCTATTTGTGTTCTCATTTGCTCTGTGCAAAGTGCAGCTTAACAGCTTCCCCCCCTTTCCTTCAGGCAGTCGATGGCTTTTGTAACACAGGAGGAAATTAGTAGCAGGTGGCAGATCATTTGTAAGGAAACAGGGACTGAACTGCTGCTTAACCTACAATGCGAGGAACCTTTTCCCCGCCATTCCCCACTAATTTGAAAATGTCCCTGGTGTGAAAGCAGCCCCATCCCTGGCAGCAGCACCCCCTGACCAGAACCACCCCTTCCTGCAGGTATGGCTCCTGTCCTGTACCCCAAGCTCAAAGGTTTTGCTCTGTGCTCAATGCAGCCCCTCTTTAATGCCACTGTTGCTGCTCTGGTTATGCAGCAGCTTATTAACCTTCCTGCTCGAAGCACTTTTGTGTGCCTGTCATATCTTCCTTCATAAAAGGTTCGCTTTGAGTCAAGATTTTCACTTTTGTGACAACAAAAAGGACCCTGCTTCTGACAGAAGATGTTGTTTTACTGCTCTGGTGTGAATAATAAGCCTAAATAACAATGGCCATGCCCGTGCTTAGGTGTCTTTCAAATATTCTCAGCAGCTGTGGAAGGGAAACTGTCGAAGTGGGCAATGTGCATGTTGTGACTGGTGAGTTCTAGGACACGAGCTGCTTTAATTGCTTGTGTCTGGACAGAGCTCACTGCGCTGTGGTTCATCTCTGGCCATAGGCTGACTTCCTATCTGACTCAGATTCAGACCTTATTTTTTGTGTGCGTCCCACAGCATTTCCACGTCAGCTGTTGTTTCTGGGGGGAGTTTCTGCCCTATTTTTGAATTGTAGGATCTGCTCTGCTTTTCTGATCTGGCTGATTTTTGACCCAAAATACAGAATAACCTGGATACCTCTGGGTAAAAGCAGGATCAGCTTCCCATCTCTGACTGCAGGATGCAGTCCTCTGCAGCCACTCAGGTCCGTGAGCAGTTTGCAGTCGTGGGGAACAGTCCATCGAGCAGCTGCGGGGCGGAGGAAGAGCTGCCATCTGGAGCATGTGCAGGGTTAGACCCTTCCTCTGCTATTCCATGCCTGCTGGCATTTGATATGTTTTCTCAAGAGAGCGTCTGAGTGTTTTCAGCCAACATACGGCTTCGCACTACAAAGGAAATGTAAAAAGACAGCAACAAGCCCTTTCTCTAAATATGTTCGCAATCAGTTCTATTCCCCTGTAATTAGATTTGTAGGAAATGAAAAAGCAGCCATCAAACTAGGGGCTTTTCAGTAAGTCGTAAATCTCGGCATGCGGAAACCCATCTGCCTCAGCGCCGCGCATCTGGGCTGCCCCGCGTGGCTCTGCCCAGCCCTCCTGCCCTGCCGCTGCCCCTGGGGCTCCAGGACCTCCCCCCCCTGCCCCGGTCTGCAGCCAGACTGATGTGGGATGGCAGACAGCACTTTGTGCTCCCCGTGTTGAGATGGAGACCCTTCTGGAGACCGGACCGTGGCTTTTGCTTTCCTGGAAAGTAACCTCAGCACCGCTGAAGGGACCTGGCTGCCCTCTGTGCTTTCTTCACATGGGCAGTAAGGAGGACACCGCCAGAGAGGAGTCACTGAGCTCAAAGGCAGGGACAGCCCTCGTCACCTTGGCTTTGGCTTTTCTGTTCGCTAATTGGAAGGAGTTCTTGCAAAAAGACCTGCCTTATTTTGTCTCATTCTCTCCTGTGAAAACAGCCCTGCTGCTTTATGCAACACTCAAAGCCACGCGTGCTTTTGCCATTGGCGCAGACATGAGTGCCAGTCATGGGCTTTTGATTGCATGATTGATTATAGGCGCCCAGACTGAATCCATGAGCATTCCAGCCCAGTTTTATGACCAGAATTCCAAAAATATATTCACAAAGGAGTGACATTCAAAGATGTTTCCATGACCCTCTGATGTTTCAGCCAGTAGAGAGATTGCTTATACAATAACATTCCTTCCTAATGCGTTCAACCTGCTCTTGTTGGGATCAAGTGTTGTAGCTTAAGATATAAGAGAAATCAAGACTGAGACTGTATTTAGAATTAATCAGGTTGGACTTCAGTGCTGTTTTACTGCCTACAGAGCCTGGGCTTTGGCTTTCAAAGCAGATGGATGAATTATTCACTCTTCATACCATCGCGGTATCAAATAGTCATTTCATAGACTCTATCGCGTCATCTATCACCTCTGCTATTCCACTTTGTTTTTAATCTGTGGAGGAAGGTCTCCATTAACGTTGATCTGCTATTTCATCTAAGTGCTCCTTCTCCATCTGAGTGCTCCGTTCAGGCTAGCAGGCTTACAGGCAGCAAATGCGATCCAGCTGGGTGAGGAGGGCAGTGGTTTCGGAGTGTCACAGGGGCTTAACAGCACTGTGAGTGCTGAGCCCAGCAGATCCGGGAAGAACGAGAAGGATTTGCATTTCTTCACACTGAACGAAAAATGGTCTCACTTCAGCTTCCCCATTTTTCATATGCTTAATGCAGACTGAAATTGTCCTGCACGCCACTCTGGTGACTGGCATGAGTGCAGGGCTCCAAATCAGCCGCATCCTTCAGAAATAAATCGCAGGAGTGGTGGGTCAGATAATACTGGTCTGCGAGCCTGATATCAGCAGGATCTCAGGCAATATTGATGAGGTGCAGGGATGCTGCGTGTTGACATATTGGAGCTGACACTAATAATCTGGCAAGGCTGAGAATTTCACTGGCACTTCTTTGAGAGTTTCAGACTCTCCGGAGAGCCGGCAGGAGGCTGCGTGGACGTTGGATCAGACCGTCATTTTGAGGCTGCTCCAAGGTCTGAAGGTTTTCATTAGTAAGAACTATTATTTTTCAGAATCTTTTCAAAGCCTTCTCTCCCTGTAGGGCTGGAAACAGCGCTGGCACGGAGCTGGGATGGTGGCAGCTTTTACCCTCCTGCATTCTTGTTTGAGGAATTCCCCGGCTGATCAGAACTCTGAGAGCAGCCAGACGCTGCAGCTTCTCAGCCCTTTATTCTCAGTACACGCGACTTTGCTGAGCCAGATGAGCAACCTCCTCCTTCTCTGCTGGATACCAAACAGCCTCACACAAGGGAAATCACTTTATTATTTCTAGAATAGGTTTTCTTAATAACTGTTGGAGAAAATTATCACCTTTAGACTCTGGAGACTGAATTTTGCCCATTTCCCCCAGAATTTAAGGATGTTCCAGTAGTTAGACCAAAGGGCTTCAAGTTAGAAGACCTGATATCCATCCCTGCGAAGCTATGGGCAAAAGACCTCAGCCAAGATCCCAGTGTGCCCAATGTCTCTTGCAGTCACTGGAAGCAAGCTGCCTGCAGACCTCTCAGAGCACAACCAGTGCTTCTCCTATGCCTCAGTTTCCCATCTGTAGTACTGCAGCTGTAACATTTCACTCAGGACAGCGTAAGGGTAATGTGTGAGGGATGGCAAACATCTTCAGAACATCTGAGGATCCAGAAGAGAGATTCAGTCTCGAGCTGCCTGCACAAGGGGCACGGCATCCCCTGGGGCATCTCGGCCCCTCCTGCTCCCTGAGCCCCCCAGGCCCTCCTCAGCCCCGGAGTACTGCAGGTCTGAGGTGCTGGAATTAAGGAGCCATAAGAGTTACCTGAGAGAGACACCCAGCGTGAGTAGCAGCAGCATCTGCCCCTTGTGTGTCGCTGGGAAGGGAGCAGATGAAAATACCACCATCTGTTTCTTTTTTAAAAAGATAATTGACGATTTACCCTTGACGTGTAAATATTTAAACAGAAAAAAAAAAAAAGGAAATAATTTTTAGATTTTCGGGATACCGTTTAATGCCAACAGTCTCCGAAGGAGCCGTTCCCTGCCCTCCCTCTGCTCAGGCTGTGGGGCAGGACGGGGCTCGCAGGCTTGGCCGCCGTCCCCAGCACCCCACGGCCGGGCCGTGCGCGTCGGGCACCAGGATGTGTCCGTGGGGACCTCTGCTGGGAGCACCGGGGACCAGAGAGGGGGGGGAGAGGGGAAGGAACTGGATTCTGTCCAGGCGACAGAGCTGCAAGCTGTGCTCCAGGCGGTGCAGCTGCATTTGGGGCCAAACGGCAGAGGCGGTGAGAAGACTCGATGGCAAAAGAGAGAAGCAGGCAGCAACAAGCGGGCGGGGAAGTTTTCGTGGCCCCCGTCAGCACCAAGCAGCGGGAGCAGCCCCCGGCTCCCTCCTTCCCTCTCCTGCTGCAGCAGCTATTTCTGCTTTGGGAAAGCACAGCTCAGAATCACAGAATCATCAAATCTCCGGAGTTGGAGGCTTCTGTGGCAGAGTACAGAGCCAGCAAAACGCTGAGCTTCGGCTGGCAGCGGGAGAGAGGCACACAGCCCCATCAGATGCCTTTATCAGAGCTCCAGCTCTGCACCTCCGTGGCCGTGAGCCTGAACACCTCGTTCATCTTCCCAGCGTGGAGAGATGCACCTAAGCCAACGCACATCAGCCTTGTTCTTTCATCATAGTGTGGCCTTTGAGAGTGAAGTACAGTTTCTCCTCTTTTATATAGATGTTCTGCCATGCTTCTGTTGTGATGTGCTCATTATTCTTCCCCACCTTCCCATGTAGCCTCGAATGTTATGCAGTACCTGGCAGAGTGCAGCTGCAGAAAGGTCGGGTGCCTGTGTTCCTTCTGGGGACGTTTCCCTGGATGCCAGCAATGGTTCCATTTTTGGCTGCGAAGCTGACCTCTGGGGCACCGAGGGGCTCTGTGGGCACACACAGGTCCTGGCTGTGGGCACACCGGGTCTGCAGGCAGCTCTAAGAGCGGCTGCTGCATTTCTCCAGCTATGGGCAAATGAGGAGCTTTGCCTGAAACTACACAGAAGAGCACTGTGGGAGGATTCTGCAGTCCTGGATGTGCTACAGACATACAGGTGTGTGCTTGTGCATGAAGCAGAGCAGGAGGCTGCATCCCAGGGAAGGTGGTCCAGGCTGGAAAGTAGAGAGCCCTTCAGACCAAACTGGAGAAAGAAGAATGCCGTAATGAGTGGCAGTGTAGGAAGCTGATCAGGAAATGGATTGAGGATCGGCAGTGGGTTAGATAAAACCATCACTCCAAGCTTGAAAAATATGAGGCCAGCCCTTATATCCGCCGTTCCTCCTGCACTGACCTTCCTGGCTCCTCACATGTGCTCTCCTCCTCTCACACGTGGCTGTGTGCACAGGCAGAGACCCCTCTCCCTCGACAACCACAGAGGCCACTCTTCCAGAACTGCTTCTCCCATCCTGATTTTTGAGTTATTTGCCATTCTTTTCCACATCAGAAGCAAAACCAGGCACAAGCAGGACTGACATAGGCTTTGTGCTTCTTTGCCCCCACAGAGTCATTAGTCGAGCCCAAGGACTGAAGCTGGTGGTGGAGACACTCATGTCATCCCTGAAGCCCATTGGGAACATTGTGGTCATCTGCTGTGCCTTTTTCATAATCTTTGGGATCCTGGGAGTTCAGGTGAGTCCCTGTATGCCTCTGCACCAAGACAATAAGTGTATAAGCCCTGGCTGGTCCCACAGTTGGCTGTTTGTACCACTGGGCACCCTTCTGAAACCAAAGCTTCCTGGGGAGCTCTTCCTTCTAGCAAGGAAGCACCAGCATTCCCATAATTAGTCAGCCATTAAAAACTCCCTAACAAATACAGCCTAACAGTGGGCAGCTGCGTGCATCGCTAGCAATAGCTGAAGTAGCAGTGATCAGAGCCACGGAGCAGCGTCAGGTTTGTCTCTTTGTGGCTCCGTCAAGGTCCTGTGCCCATGCTCCAGAAATGCGTGTTGGTTTTGAATCTGTAATTGTACCATAGTTAATGGCCCAGAATGAGTCAGACCCAAGGGCTTAAGCAGCTCTTGGACCCCCTCAGCAGCACAGTGTGGCTTTTCTAGTGCCCTCAAAACATTTATTTCCGAAGTTCAGTCGTGGCTGTGTGCCACTTGATGTGTTGAAGCTTTCCTATTGCATGCAGTGGTACGAAAGCCACGATGACCCCCTGAGAGGCACAGAACGGGCTTTCTTCATCGCTTCCCCACCACAAGGACTTCGGCTCTGCCTGCAGCAGGACATAAATCAAACCATTTCTCCACTTTCTTTCTTCCCCTGGCCACACCACAGTAGAGTGAGGCCTGAAGCATGACATGTACTGCCAGCAAACCTCAGCTCAGGGAAACTTAAATCCCATTCCTGTTCAGTCTGTGAGATAACATGGGGACATCTCCCCTCCGCCTTCCTTCTAGGTTTAAAGCAATGGGGAAATAGAAGCTTTCAAGGCTGAAATCGCTGGTGTGTAAACTCCAGAGAGACCCTGACCTGGAGATTCATTCAGATTCTGACAGTTTGTATAACTGAGGGCTTGCAGAAGCAGAGATTTCCAAGCCTGATTCCTGCTGGCACTGCTAGCAATATCCTCAGTCCTAGCAATGCAGGAACCCAGGGGAAAAAGTGGGAGAGTTTCCTATTTAATTGATTTCTCATTACCTGAGAAGAAGAGATTGTTTCGTACAAATATTCTGACATAACACTGATTTCTCTCTGAAGTTTACTTGCCCTGTTGCAGCCAGCTTTGGGAAGCAGCTCTGCTTTGCTTTGTTTCAGAATAGTGTCTTATGCAATGTTTTTTACTAATGTGCTGTATAAATAATGAATACGGCATTGGAAATAAACAGAGAGAATTGTGCCATCCATAACCATGGGCAGCTGGATTGGCTCTGTCACAGCTAACTGCCTCCATCCCTTGTGCTGAGGTGATTCAGAAAGCTAAGCACATCCTGTGAAACGGTACAAAACTCAGGCATGGGAAAATTGATGCCAACCAACAAAACCTGCAGTGCGCCCTTTGGATTTCCTCCCTACTAATTGTGATGCTTCCCCTGTGACTCGCTGTCTTCTGTTAAATTGTCGTGACTATCGATGTGCTTCACGGGTAGATGTGAGTAAGGCTGGTCTTGTATTTGTGAAGCAAAGTTCTCGGTTAATGTTGATGTGTAATTAGGGGTGAGATGAGGGCCGTACTATTTCTATAAAAAGATGATCCCTCCAAGTTACAGTTGGTTTTCCCGTGTGAAGGAGATCAAAGTACAGCTGATAGAGCTTTATGCGATGGCAGTTCAGACTTGGGAGCTTCTAACGGCGTCTCCTCTTAGCCAGACTGGTTCTGTCGTGGTGCTCATCCACGTGTGGATGGTGATTAATCAGACACGAGCAACAGACTGCCAAACTCTCGGCCTTTCCCTTCTGGCAGTGCTGGAAGCTGGAGCTCCGACTGACGCACCACCAGCAAGCAGCATTCTTACAAATCAGGCTCTGCATTTCCAAACCCAGTTAGGAGCTGTGTTACTGCTCCCACCTGACGGGCATTACGGTCCGGCTCCAGGAGAGATTGTATTTATGGACGATATATTAGAACAGTTGTTTACCTTCCTGCTTAATTAAAACTTTCTGATCTGTGCAAGCTATATCTCCCTTGTCTGCCTTACGCATGATAGTGTTTCTCCACGGGAAGATCAGGGAATACTCTTCTTACAAAGACTTTTATGGTTGCGTTGGATGGTGATTACCTTTGCGTGCCTAGAGAACGTCCTGCTGCTGCTGTGGGTTCCTGAAGGAAACCCATGGAGTAATGTGTGGGTTTATCTTGTTTGCTATTATTTCTACTGATATTTATCTACGACAGCAGATCAAAACCCATCAGCATCATTTCTCTGTATACCCAGGTGGTGTTTTAAGGAGCAGGTTGCCAGCTCTCCCCGAAACAGCAGCTTCTGTCAGCAAATAAGCAACCCTGGCTGCACGGCTGGCTGCGAGCCCCTCCTTTCCACTGGCATCAATCATGTCTGAAGCAGTCCTCATCCCCTGCCACTGCCTGCAGTTACGTGCAGGGAGGCCGCTGTTCCTTGGGCATCTGTAGATCAGGAGTTTGCTTCCCAGGAGCTGCATCTCTCCTGCCTTACACCAAAGGAAGGAAGGTCAGGGTCAGGGATCCGGCACCAGGCTGACGCCTCACACGAGGAATATTTTCAGAGCGCAGCGGTACTTGGAGAACAGCATTCAGACCCGAGGCAGAGCGCAGCCAGCCCAGCATGCAGCAGAGCCCAGCTGCAGCACCTCGGCTGTCCTGCAGTGTGTCCCTTCTCCCCAGCAGCGGCTCATGGCTGTGCCTCCGAGCGCCGCCTGCGCTCAGCTGGCACGGCCCGGTCACAGCGCATTGCCCGGCGCTGCCAGCGCTGTTCGCTGGGTCACAGAGCCAACCCGCGTGCCCCAGCAACAAGCCTGGCAGCAAAGGGCTGCAGGCAGCTCTCAGGGCGACGAACCGAAGCTCCAAATGCCCCGCGTGGGTGCCCAGAATGGTGTGAAATGATGCGTTTGCTCATTAGGCACGGATCAGGCAGGCTGCTCAGTCCAGAGCCCACATGAACGCGGCGATTTCCCTCGACTCGTCTGGCTCCATGGGCTGTGCAGAATTCCCTGTGAGAAATATCCATCCTCTGCTGAGAAATCCTGTGGTCTGAGCCATTACCTTTCCTCTCCTCTTTGTGTGTTTTGCAGCTTTTCAAAGGCAAGTTTTTTATCTGCCAGGGGGAGGACACCAGAAACATCACAAATAAATCGGATTGTGCAGAAGCAAGCTACAAATGGGTCCGGCACAAGTATAATTTTGATAATCTCGGCCAGGTATTAATAGCACGGTAATCTGCTTCTTTGCTCCTTTACCTTCTTGACTTAAAACCTGTGCATTATTATCCCATGGGATTTTCTTACAGGGCACTGCCAGTCACAGTAAATATTCAGTTCACACACAGCATTCTGTCTCTGTAAATCCCAAAGGTGGTGTTTCCAAGCAGCCACACACTTCTTTTCAGAACAGAACAAGCACGTGTGGCTTTGTGGAGTACTTAATTGCTTCACTGCTACATAACAAACCAAATATATCTTGCAGAAGAGCTTGTCTAATAGAGCTGGACACATCCAACCATCTCTGCAACACTGCCTTATTTTAGCTGCATGGTGAGGACTAATTAGCAGGGAGCAGTAGAGACCTGGAGGGTGGAAACGAAGCTGCTTTGTGTTCAGCTTTGTGGTTTCCGAATTAGCACTCGTTGCTGAACCATGTTCTGACACTGATGGGTTTTTGCTGCCAGGAGAAACCTTGGGCATCAAAGTGCCCCATTATCAGCCAGCTAATGGCAATCTGCAGACAAGGAAAGGGCTAAGAGGAGTAAAGTGTTACAAGTGAAAAATCTCTGCTGCAACTCCTTGCAACTCTTCTCTGCGTTTTTCTAGGCCCTGATGTCTCTCTTCGTGCTGGCCTCCAAGGATGGCTGGGTGGATATCATGTACGACGGCCTGGATGCAGTGGGAGTTGACCAGCAGGTATGAGCTGCAAGGAGCCAGAAATGCAGCTAGAACAAAAGGGCAATGCGTCAGGAGGGAGCACAGCGAGGAGCCCTGGGCTTGAAGCCAGCCTTTTCCCTACAGATTTTGCCACACTGCTGGTGTATTAAGGCCATAGCAGATGAACGGCCCTTTCTGAAGAGAGAAGGTTGGAATTTAGAGCATTTTGGGAGAAAAGAATAGCTCAGCGTGGGTCTGGGTTTTCAGTGAGGGCAACGATGGCTGCAGGGGATGCTGCTGGCAGATCAGACGTGGTTCTGAGCGCACTTTGTGATTTGGGACTGCTCTGCTGAACCAGCTCAGAAGGCTGTGGTCACAGGGAGCAGAATGCATTGCCCTGCCACAGAGGGTCACCCACTGTCCAGATTTCGGATGTAGCAGCTGTAACTATTTGCTCCTTTTGTTTTGAGGTTTCGTTGACATTTGCCTTCCATCCCCTTTGCAGCCAGTCATGAACTACAACCCGTGGATGCTCCTCTACTTTATCTCCTTCCTGCTCATCGTGGCCTTCTTCGTGCTCAACATGTTCGTGGGGGTCGTGGTGGAGAACTTCCACAAGTGTCGGCAGCACCAGGAGGAAGAAGAAGCCAAGAGGAGGGAGGAGAAGAGGCTTCGCCGGCTGGAGAAAAAGAGAAGGAGTAAGGAGAAACAGATGGCTGGTCGGTAGTCTTTCCACATCTTTCTGAGTCCTGCTTGACTTTCCACACAATCCCCTCTCCCTCCCCTCCCTGCCTCGCGTCTGGTGATCATTCTTCTCCTAAAAGCATGTCCAGCTATGAAATTTGCATGAAGGAAGTAGTGTGATTTTAGGCTGAGCAAGGAGACACGGAAGCCTTTTCAATCACTGCGTGATTTGCAGCGACCTTCCCACTGGAGGTTATTTAAATTTAAAAAGTAATGATAACCAGACCTGGAGCCTCTTGGATGGCAGCGCTCAGTGTTACACAAATAGTGACAACTGCAAAGATCCGCAGTGCCGGATGGCACCGTCCATCTTCCAAGTCATGAGCACTGTTGCTGATAACTGGATTCACTATTTGGTTTATTACAGCCTTGTAATGCCACAGTGATGCCACCTGTCCCATTTGTCAAGCAGGATTATTTATTGGCATGGTAGCACCACTGCTATTCAAGAGTGTAATAAAATAATGGAGACATCTCGTTCTAGTAATGCTTAAAAACCCCTCAGAGAAACACATATCAAAGCATTTGCTTGAGAAATACAGATTAGAAAACAAAAGCAGTGGAGGAGAGTAACTAAGGAGGCAAAATGGCAGTGATGCAAAGTGAACTGAGCCCTGAGCTCTGTGTGCACACCTGCAGACCTTCTAGAGGAGGCTTTGAAAGGGAAAGGTGCTCAGCCTCCACTCTGTCAGTGGTCTTCTATCTTTGTCTTTGGGTGTTGTTTTGTTTTTTTTTAATATTTTGGTTCAAGAATTAAGGAATAAGCCAGCCAGGGGCCAAAGTCGAACGTACTCTTCTCACATGGTCTCCTCTGCCCAAAGATTCCTCCTTGCCCTTTGTGTCCATGGCCTCACTCCCCCCAGTCTGTCTTTGCTTCTCTCTACGTCCCTTCTCACAACTCTATCTTCAACAGACTTCAGTACTGTTTCAGAGACTGATCAAACACTTGTTCTGAAAGCTGGTGATAAGAAGTCAGTTTTATTTTTTTTTAATGATCTAGGAGCCATTTAATAGCTGTGGCAGGTTGCTCAGCCACGTAGCACAATCATCCTCTCTCAGCCTCTCTCCATTCAGCACTTATGCAGCACTTTCCCTTGTCTTTAGGTCACATTACCTTCCCAGGTTTTGTAACCAAGAGCATTATCATAGCAGCCTCTGGGCATCAGGGTTTGCGTTGTGCCAAGAGCCTGTCTCCCTTGATGCTCAGTGGGAAGATGGAGGCTTCCCTTGGGAGCAGCAGAGAATACTGAATGGGAATTAGTGAGTAACAGCCTGATTGAGCCCATGATGGAGCACCTGGAGAAGGGACACAGGCAGCCCTGGGAGCACAGCTGAAAACAGTTCACCTGTGTGACCAGAAGGTTCCGCCCCTCTCTGAGCCTCATTTAAGGGCTGGCTGCTACAGAGAAAGGTTCTCTACCTGGAGATCCCTCCTTTTGGAGCATTCAGTGAGCCCTGATGCTCGGGATGGGTAAGCAAATTTTTCTTTCTTTAAGTGAGTTGTGACCATCAGCTTTTTTTTTTCTTTTTTTTTTTTTTAGTGCCAGTTATCTGCAATCACCTTACCCTGCAAGCACTTCAGGCTGCTCTCAGCTGAGTGCAGTGCAGTGGAAGGAGCTGGTGCTGCCTGGGAGCCTCTTTCAGTCAGCACAATTTCCCAAACGCAATTTCAGGCTGATGGTAGAAAATGCTTTTAAACACCGAACAGAAAGATCCCTGTTTAAAGTCACAGTTCTGGAAGGCAGGCGTAGAAGGAAAATAGATGTTTAGTTACTATTGATGACCTTATTTATAACGCTAGAGGAACTAGATGATGAGAAGATGTAAGTCTGGGCAGTTTCCTAGTGGGAAGGAATCACAAAATGTTCTTGGAGATACAGTTATTCATTCAGTCCTACGAAATGTCTAATTAAAGAGGCAATAAGAGCTGCTTTATTGAAGATCAAATATTGCTGAGAATTCAATTGCTGTAAAAGCCTTTAAAGAGCAAAGTCTGAAGCCCTCCAAATCTCTTTAGAACAGTTTTCCCCATTTGCGTTCAGCCGAACGTTGACTTTAAACAACCTTGTCCAGCTTTGCCTTAGGAGCCCACAGATACCATTGCTTCATCCTGCATGCTGGGAGCTTGCAGGCGATGCCAAGTTAGGGATGGTACCAACAGCTGCATGGGGGCTCCTGGCAGGGCATTCTGAGCGTCCCGCAGCGCCCACACCCGCCCACAGATGTCTGTTTTTCATGCAGCCAGATGTAGCCCATCTAACAGTTGTTTTTCTTCATAGACTTTTCAAACGCACTTCCCCAGTCTGACATCTGCAAAGCAGAGAAGTGTGTGGGACCCCGGTTTGGTGAGGTGTAGGCAATGCAGTGGCCGCTGCCAGGCGCTGGCCCAGCAGGATGTGTGCCCTACCTCAGGTACCCACTCTGTCCTTCAGGACTGCCTCCTCCTCATCACCAAGCCAGGGCGTTCTCTTGGGCTCCCACCACGGGAAAAGCACGGGAGCCCTTCGCTTTTCCCGATGAGCCCCAATACCCGAGCTGCCCTCCCTGAGATGCAAGGAGAGGATCCGCCAGGAGATACTGAACGGAGGCAATGCAGAGCCGCAGGAGCCTCTGGCGGGGAAGGGGATCGCTGCGTGTCCTGCCGGATGATTAATGCCGTTTCGTTCTTTTAGATCTAATGCTGGATGATGTGTTAATGGAGAGCACAGCCAGCGCGGTGCCAGGTACTGGGCAGCTGTGGCGTTGTGTCCCGTGAATGGCAGTGCTGTGTAACTAACTCTGGCCGCGCTGCTCGGAGGCATCCCACTAAACCTGTGTGTGGTGCAAGGCTCGGCGCTTCCCTCGCGGCACACGGCTCTCGTTCTGACTGCAGGTCTGCCGGCCTGCCTCAGGACTCACACTTGCCAACCCTTAATTTATCCAATGGTCATCTTATGTTTTTCAGTCATCTTTTTTTTTTATTATTATTATTTTTTCTTCTGGCTTTTGTTGAACAATGTCAGACTTCTCATAGCTTTTCTTTGTGTTTTTTGTTTTTGTTTTTTTAGTTCAGAGAATAATGACTGGACTGTGGAAAGGATCTTTGGTTGTTTACTCTGGCTTTCCAACCACAGGCTGAGGAGTGTGAGTGATTTGCAGGAGTGTCTCTGAAGGCAGGCAGGGCCACGTAGGGGGAGCATTTTGTTCTTTCTTCACCCTTGCTCCACGCAGGGAGGCACAGTACTCAGCAGGATAAGATCCAGGATCTTCCCCACACTGACCTCCGGCAGGGCTGGGAGGAGATGATCTTTAAGGTCCCTTCCAACCCAATCACATGATGCTATGATGTGGGGATTATCTGTAGTTCTACCAAACCTATGAGTTCTTCTCACTGATTGAGAGCTGCTCCGTCCACAGGGCATCTCCTGGGTTAAAAAGAATAAAGATGCTGCCTTGTGCCCTCTGCAGGACTCGGGTTGTGCCCTGCCATAAGTCTGTCTCCTTTTATTGTCAGAAGAAGCTTTGATCAGCCAAGTGTTTTGTTTAATTTGTAGCTCACAAATATTAGCCTGAATAATGAAGGAGGCGCCAATGTAGAAACAAATATAGCTATAATTTTCAACAGAAATAATATCCTGGGAAAACTGTGCCGTTAAAACTCTCACCTGTGAAAAATCCACCCACCTGTCAGACATTGCACAGCGCACGGATTGAGTAACAGCTGCAAGGTGAGGGCTGTTGGCTTTGGGCACGGAGGACAGCTGTGGGGCAGGGGGTCCCACCTTTGTATTTCTGGGGCTGCGGTGGAAGTTACCACAACATGCTTTGATCGATCCCTTCCCGCTGCCGTTCCCGGTGTTTTTATTTCTGTGCCTTCATTCTCGCCCTCCTTGGCAGGCCCTGTTCTTTCTGCAGTGCTGGGCTGCCAGACTTCGCTCAGTGCTGGGGTCCCCCTGTGCGTGGGGCTGCGTTTGTTGTTTGCTTGGTTGTGATGCCTCTTCTGCTCGTGCACAGTTGCATCGAGCCTGGTTTACGTTATTTTATTTTCTTTTTAAGGCATTGAACTCATTCCAGTCCCCTCCATTATCCCATGCAGACTCAGGCTGTGCTCTGTGTTGCCCTGCGTTGCCTTTCCATTGGGTCTCATCTCAGAGAATGTGGGGCTGCCAGCTGGTCCCCGTGGGGTGGTGGTGGGTGAGGGTTGGTCCTCCCATGGCTCAGGGGATGCTGCAGAGGGGAGCCTCAGACCCACACACATGGGTGGTTCCTGAGGGACTGCCTTCCTCTTGGTGTGAAGATAAGATGGAGTGCTGTGTGCTGGTGCTCACTGGGATGTTACAGTTTTATAGTTTTCCTTTTATTTTCTCATCAGTCTGCATTCTGTCACAACTGGAAACTTCACAGTGGAAATAATTTATTTTCTGTTTTGCTTTTTATTTCTTTTTTTTTTTTTTAATATAAATCCATTCAGTACAATAAAAGCCAAGTAAAATGCTCTGTATAAATAGAAAAAGCAAAAAGTTCCTTCAGTGCAAACTACTTTTTAACCTAATAATATTCCTGATACAGTTTGTAAATCCAGCTGCGTCACAGGCTCATTGCTCACGGCTTGCTGCTGTCCTCCAGATATACCCAGACCTGTGAAGGAGTTAATTCCCTTATTAGAGAAGAAGGGAAAAGCCAGAGGAGACTGTAATGAAATTGTCCCACTCTCGTGAATTCCAATTTCCTGTGCCCACACAGCTCTGGCTGCAAAGGCACTTTGGGGAAAGCAGCAATTTCTCTCTTGACAGGGTAATATTGGGATGCAGCCCTGCGCCAGCAGTGACACCAGCTGTCCTGTAGCCAGGGAGGGCCTGCAGTTATGGGGCTGTCATATCTGCACGGTGCCCCCAGGACAGTCCCCCAGGCCCTTCTGCATCCCACCTCCTGCAGCGGGGCACTGCGGGGTGGGGGGTGCAGCGGGTTCATCAGTAGCATTGCTTTAGGCAGTGGGCTGGGGGGAGAACTGAGGCCAGAGCACAGTGAGATGCTCGGATGTGCCAGGAAGGCTGCAGCATTCTGCTCCCAGCCATTGGCAGGCATTGCCTGTGCTCCTCATCCCATGTGGTGCTGCAGGGAGGAGCAGGGAAACCCTGCTTGGGAAACAGCCTGAGTGGAGGACTCGTAACAGTGATAAGCTGAAGGCTGGTGCTGCTGTGCCAGGCATCGACCCAACTGCTGCAGCCCTACAGAGCCTGTCTCTAGGGGGGGAGAAGCAGGTGGGCTCCCAGGACCACCATCTCCCTCTGCCGGATCACCTTCCTACCTGGGCTAGGAGGAAACTGCTCGGGACCTGCAGCCTGAGCTGCTTGTGTCCAGAGGAGCTCATCTCCAGCTGAGGCAGCTCCCTCGCCCCTGCTCCTGGCCTGCAGCCATGGTGAAGCAGCTTGATTTACATCCTGTTTACCAGCCTGATGTTTCGTAGTGGGCTTTTGCTGTATTTTCCCATTTTCTCTCATTCTGCCCATTCTTTCTTTTGTTCATTTGCTCTCCTTGTTTCTTTAACACCACGTGTGCCGGGAAGCCAGTTAACCTTTCAATGATAACCGAGACTAACCCAGAGCTCTTGTTGTTCTTGACACAGTGTATTGTAACAGTAAAGTAATGTGGTGTTGTGTTAGTTGTGAAGTTCACCACCTGGAGTTTAACAGATGTCTGTATTTCCCAAGATGTTGGTATTGTTTAGATCTTTACTGCAATAATTCCAAAGAACACTGTGCAGTAGGGGGCAGGGGCTTTGCACTGGGTAATTACGCACCAGTACCACCCGATGGGTGTGCAGAAACGCTCTGCTCCTATAGAAGTGGCACTCAGACGACAGCAGGAGCTCCCTGCCTCCCTAGGCACAGTGCTGTGTGTCGGGCAGCATGCTGTGGGTGTGCGGCTGGTTCATCACCAGGTGATCTCAGTGCTGCACTGATTTGCATGGCCAGCATGCAGAGCGCGGTGCGATGAGCGCTGGTCTGATTTATAAACAGGGTTGACAAATCCCCTCCCCGTGAAGTTAATGGTGAAGGGCAAAGTGTTTACCAACAGCGGTTTTCTAAGGCGGCACCCGGAGATGTTGGGCTGTGGAAACCCTGAGGATGTGCTGGGAAAGGCGAGGCAGAGCCTTGATGCTGCAGGGAGGGGGGAGGTAGACAGCAATTAGCAACCCTGCTTATAAGGTCACACAGCAGCTCATCCAGGTGCAGATCCCTGCGCAGGGGACGGTTTACAGCCTCTCTCTAAATCCTCTCTCTGTTCTAACGGTGCGGTGCTATTCTGTAGGATTTGGAATTACCTGTCAATCAAAGCTGAAAAAAAACATGAATTCCAGTGTGATTATTCATAAGTAAATCCACTGCAAGAAAAGGCAGAAACCCTGACATTTTTTCTTTGTGAATGTGAATTAGACATAAATGTAGAGAAGTGATCCAATTACGATGGTGTTTCTTACTGAGATGATAAGTTGGTTCATAAAAATAGGTCCTGTTCCTGACTTAATTGTATTCAAACATTTTAGTTAATTTGCTACTCATAACTTAGCATAATGTGATCGAGATATCTTGACTTTATGGAGATTTATGCAGATTCCAAGATATCTGACATAGGCTTATGAGTGAGTCAGCAGCTGCTGCTCTGCTTCTTTATAAGCACTCAGTAGGTGCAGTGTGGAAATTCGTCGTGCAGGCCTTTCCATCAACATTGTGCTTTAGCTCTCCAGCGCAGATCACCTCAAGCACCCAAGCGTTGCAGGGCAGAAAGGGAATGTTAACACTGCCTTCAATGTGACTGCGCTGAGGACATTCCAAACCCCTACAGAATAAAACCTCTCACTGGTTTGTCTCTCTGGTGCCCGGGCTGTAGGGGAAAAGCCTGTCTCTATGGAAAAACCAAAGCAACTCTGATTTTCAGGATCCTGTTGTGAAGCAGGGAGTGCACAAAGCCATGCAGCCTGTGGCTTTGATTGCAATGCCTCTGACTATTGACAAAGCGAATTCTATTTCCAGGCAAAACTTAATCTTCTAAAATTAGTCTTCCCCGAGGGCAGCTGAAGCCTGGCCTTCACAGCTCCGCTCTGCCCAACTTTCTGCTCGCTGTAATGCATCAGGCTGTACATGAGCAGAAAATATCAAGCCGTGTAATTCTTACAGCTCAACGATTTTTGTAACCGGTTGGTCATCTAATTAGTAGAGTAATATTACACTCTGACATATTCAAGACAGTCCTTTCCACTTCAGTCTGCATTATAATGCCTCCTTGAAAATGGTACTGAATGATATACTCAGCCTTGGCATTTCCTCATTAGAGATTAGGTGAGTAAATGAGTTTATCTGTGGGAACATTTGGGGTCTAAGAGCACGTGTCGTTCTGAGGCAGCCTGACCTGGGAATGAGTTGTACAGCGAAATCTGTGCCTCAGTAATCTGGTATGAAACAGAGAGCCGTTATTTCCTAACGGCTGAGGCTGACTGATCAGTTTCCCGTGGTATTTTTATGGACCGTTCTTCACGGCTCTGACAGCCCAAGTGTTGAATTTCGTTCTCTCTGCAGTTTACTGCGAAGAACATAATAGGACCAAATTACTTCTCTTTCAAAGCCCACTGCTAACTGAACGCCCTTTATTTCTAAGCCACTGGTGCTAAAATCTGTCCCTGGCATCTGACTGCTAATTGGGTTTTTGGATGCTTTGGGGACTTTCTAAGCTCAGCAGCAACAAAAATTGTCGGCTTAATTTAAACTTAATTGAAATTTCCCAATGGTGAGAACACTCCTCAGCACAATGATCCCAGCTCACCTCATCCCTGATGCCGTAAGGCTGAGTATAGCGCATGTCCCGCTGAAGGTGTTTAATGGATGTAAGCTGACAGGAGCCCTGCTGTGCATTAAAGGTGGTAACGTGGCAGCAGAGGGGGAGGGAGGGGAGGAAGACGACAGCATGTTGCTGTAATCAGTCTAGAGTTTGTCAGTGTGGGAGGTGAGGGTGCGTTGGCTGCATGGAGGCACAGAGGAGTGACTCGCCGTGCTCTCGGCTCTCCTCCCGCTGCAGAAGCACAGTGCAAGCCCTACTATTCGGATTACTCCCGCTTCCGCTTCCTGATCCACCAGATGTGCACCAGCCATTACCTGGATTTGTTCATCACCGGCGTCATCGGCCTCAACGTGATCACCATGGCCATGGAGCACTACCAGCAGCCCAAGGTCAGTGTGCTGCGGCTGGTGGGCGCGATGCAGGGCGCTTCTGCTCTTTGGTCTGGGGCCCTGCTCACCATGCCCTGGGCTGGAGGTGTCCATCCTGTCCCTGCCTTCAGGCCGTATCCATCCGTACGGATGGGGCCTGTTGCACCTCTGCCCTCTGGTTAGGTGCGAGGTGACTGCTCTGGCAGTTGGGCTGGGAGAGCATTTGTTTCGTTAGCTACAAAGGATCATTAGTATAACCCTCTGTTTGATTGAATGTTTGCACCAAAAAAAAAAGAAAAAAAAGGAGAAAAAGGGGAAAACAAATTGCATTTATGAAAGCTTTCTGCTTTGCAAAGTTTCTCCCAAAGTCCCATAGGGCTTAATTTTCACAGGCACTGGGTTCTATGCTGGTCCTTAAAATACATTTTAATGTATTAGTGTGCTCAGTTCTGGGTTTGGGTCATATTCTGGAAATAAAAACAGCCTGTCCTGGGCCATCAAGCCTCTTGTGCGTAAGAAGGAGATGGAAATAGGTGCTTTTGCCATATAACTTGTACTTATTTTTATTAGCTACTTTCAGAATGAATAAATACAGCACACAATAGGAGGAAATATTCTCTAAAACTACACAGGGTTTGAATACTTAATGTTTAAAAAAACAAAAACATTAAATACAGGGAAAAATATCCTCCAGCCTATCATAAAGGAGCCAAAAAGTGGAAAGGCACAAGCCCAGTTTATTTCTTCTGTTTGGGTCACCTTCAAACAGCCCCGACAGCTCCTGTGTGATTCAGTCAGTTGGTGATGAGCAATGCTTTTGGCTGCAGAGCCTGCGCTGGAATCTCGTGAGGGCGTTGCATCTCGCCGCCGCTCTGCAGCCATGATTTCTCTTGTATCATAACTGTGCTGGGCAGGTTTTTGTTTTTAATTTTCTTTAGGAAAATCACATCTTGTCTCTAAGCCTCTGGTATGCAGCATCTGCGTAATGACCCTGAGGTTGGTGTGCTGTGGGATGACAGCACAGGGGGCTGAACCATGGCCATAGGACCACTCTGGTCTGCTTGCAGATAATGAGAATGGGTTGATGGTTGGAGCAGATGATCTTGGTGGGACATTTGTCATCCTGCTGAGCCTTTTGTCCTGTTAGGGACTCAGCAGCTCTGCTGGAACATGGTGAAGGCAGGCTTGCTGGCACAGAGCTGGCACCTAACTTCTGTGCTCTGTCCTCACCACAGGTTCTCGACGAAGCCCTGAAGATTTGCAATTACATCTTCACCGTTATCTTTGTCCTGGAGTCTGTTTCCAAGCTCATTGCCTTCGGGTTCCGTCGCTTCTTCCAAGACAGGTAACACAGGCTGCAGCTTGGCTGCCTGGGGGCTGCAGGGCACAGCTGCCCAAGGTTGGGGTTTTAGAGCCCGGTGATCCTCCTGGTGTTAGCTGTGTAACACGAGGGAAAGCTTCTCGGTGTGGTGGTTGCAACTGGGCTGGGGTGGGGGCTGGAGAGAGGAGTGTGCATGAGGAGGTGTGTGACGTGCATCCATGTGGTGGGCAGACAAACAGACAGCAAGGCAGTGCTGGGCAGCAGATCTCCTCCTGACACCAGCAGCGTGCCTGCAGAACCAGGAGAGCTGGGTGAATGAGAACAGATTGTCCTGAGAGAGAAAATCTGCTCCTGAGCAGAAACCGAGGAGCGAAAGGACCTCTTTTCACACAGATGCTGAGCAGCGTACAGAATGACATCTTCCTCAGATTTCCCCTCTCGTAACCCCTCAGGGCTTGTTTTACGCCCAGGTCATGCTACAAGGACTGGCTGCTCCTCCCAGCAAGCCCACAGCGAGCCCCGTGTGCTGCAAAGCAGGGGCCATCAGCAGCTCCAGCATCGCCCCTCAGTTCCACAGCCTCTGGGTGCAGAACTGCTTTGTTTCTCACTCCCTTCAGCCAAGAGCGTCGTTGGCCATTGGCTGATTTTATAACAAGCTGTGTTAATTATAATGATTTCATAACGTAACTGCTTTTGTATAATACCCTAGAAAAATGCTCAGATTCATTTGAGTGTGAGAACCATTGAAATGCCTGGAATTCGTGTGAAACAAGCTGCCTCCTGTTGCCAGCTTCTTAGTAGATGTTAAACTTCATTTTGTGTTGTCTCCAGATGGAACCAATTAGATCTGGCAATTGTGCTGCTGTCTATCATGGGTATCACTTTGGAAGAGATTGAGGTGAATGCTTCGCTCCCAATTAACCCCACTATTATCCGAATCATGAGGGTTCTCAGGATTGCTCGAGGTGAGACAAATTAAGCAGAATTTGCTTGTATTGAGGTGCAGGGTCCCCTCCAGGAGAGAGTTAAGTGTTGGGAAACAGTGGCGGGGCACATCCTCATCACAGTGTGCATAGCTCTGGCATCAGCAGTCTGTAAACAAATAAGAGAACAATGGAGGAAAACAGTTGCGAGGAGCCAAAGAGCTGAGCCGACTGACCGTGTGCTTCTATCTTAAGGGAACTTGAAGCTGAAAGCTTAGAACTAAAAGACAAATAGCTGTGGTTGTAACTCCCAGAGATGTACCTGGGAAACCATGCCAGTCAAATGAAAGTCGTCTCTAACAGGGATTGCAGAACATCAGCCTGAGTGCATTGGCTTTAAAAGACAAGCATCTAATAAATTTAATTTCCCGTGAGACTTTACATCTCTCCACACTGTGACAAAACATGCCTTGTCACCATGCATCCATCTGTCCTTCCACACTGCAACAGCATGTACTGGGCTGGGAAGGCAGCTCCTTTAGGGCCAGAGCTTTCCCAGCAGAACTTCGTGGGTCCAAATGACAGAAATGCAAAACGTGAGTGCTCAGGCTCTAAATAAAGTACTGCCAGGCTCTCCTGAAGGGCACTGTTGTGCTCTGAGGCGTAATTGCTGTGATTGCAGCCCTCTTCTAAGCGAAGAGGGAACTGGGAAGAAATGAGATGCTGCTGTGTCTCAAGCGGTGGGGGAAAATGTGTTTTTCCTGTGCATTGGATCCCTTTCAGAATTAAAAATACATACACTTTCCAACTGGGTATGCAGCCTCCTGGAAGAGATGTGATTCACTGAGGTTCTGATTTACACATTTGCAAGTGGGCAGCCTATGGAAGTGGGAAAGTGGCCCCAGAGCTGGGAAACAGCTGCTCACAGCGCAGGGAAAGAAAGAGGGGGGAGAAGAGGGGTGCGGTGGTGAAGTGGGGGGAATGATGCTCTCTGTCATCTCTTTTGCTGGGTTTAAACCCACTGGGAACAAACCTGGTGTGCACAGTGCTGTGAGAGGCACCAAAGGGCACCCTCCTCCCGGCCAGAAGCTTTAAAGCAGAGTTGGAAGGGAAGCTGCCTTTTACTCTTAACCTCATTGTTTGGCTCACTTGCCGGAGCCAACACTGTGGCCCTGTGCTCCCGCTGGGTGCCAGAGTGCCATCCCAGGGAGAGGGGAGAGGAAGGCCGGGCAGAACGGCGGTGCTTCCCCAGCTCTCAGGATGGGTGATGCTGCAGGGCACAGGATTTCAGCAGTATCCAAGCAACCAGGAGCGGTGTCAAAGGGCAGGAGCTGTAGTGGCTAGCAGAGAACACTTGCCATCGTTTCACGTTTCTCCTCCTGCAACCCTGTGAGAGGGATGGGGTTTGCTGCCCCGTACCAATGCTGCTGTCACCATATCGTGCCTGTGTTTTCCGCAGTGCTGAAGCTGCTGAAGATGGCTGTAGGGATGAGGGCTCTGCTGGACACCGTGATGCAAGCGCTGCCCCAGGTAACCCCCTGCCTCAGCACCGCCTCCTCCGGCCCACGGCTGTGTTTGTTGCAGAGGAATGCTAATCATTTTATCTCTGCTGTCATTAGATAATCACATTTCCCTTCCGAAGCACAGTCTGAGATACAGTCCTCACATTGAGGTCATTTTCCCCCTGAAGCAATTTAAGTTTTGGATTAAAGAATACAGCAAGAAACAGGTCTGGAACAAAAAAATCAATGAATGTTCTTTTTTTGTGTTTTTTTTCCCCCCGTTTCTTTTTCTCTTTCCAGGTGGGGAATCTGGGTCTTCTCTTCATGTTGTTGTTTTTCATATTTGCAGCTCTTGGAGTGGAGCTCTTTGGCGACCTGGGTGAGTGCAGCCCTGCCCCGTGCCGGCTGGGCGCTGGTGAGCGGCGTCTCATTGCTGTGTTTGTCCTGCAGAGTGTGATGACACACACCCCTGTGAGGGGCTGGGCCGACACGCCACCTTCCGCAACTTCGGGATGGCCTTCCTCACCCTGTTCCGCGTCTCCACGGGGGACAACTGGAACGGGATAATGAAGGTGAGGGGCCCCCAAAACGTAGAATCACAGAATCGGTTGGGTTGGAAGAGCCCTTTATGGCCATCCGCCCCACCACCCCACCGACCGCATCCCTCAGTGCCACATCTCTGTGGTGCTCAGCAGCCCCGGGGCACGACCCCTCTTCTGTGCAGCTGTGCCACTGCATCCTTGCTATCTAGGAGAAGAAATTGTTCCAGATGCCCAACCTGAGCCCCCCGGCGCTCTGTGAGGCCGCTACCTCTTATCCTGCCAAATGACTGGTGGCATTGGTCCACGTGCCACAGCTAGCTGCTCCAACTGTGCCCTGTCTCCTCCTGCCCAGCACTGTGAGGTTGGCCTGGAGGTGGGCCAATGCTGCAGCCTTCTGCATGCTCCGTATATTCCTTTTTCTAGAGAGAACCGCATGAAAACAGGGGAAAAAATAAAGGGACGCCTCTCTGAAGTTATATGAATTCATTCCAGTTAGGCCTGTTGGTTTAGCTTTGTGTTTCCTTAAAAGCCCGCAGTTGCAATTGTTGGTGTTCCTTTGTTGTGGCTTCGTGGGTTTTTAAAATTCTATCTATTTATTTATTTATTCATTTACTTTCTGGGAAAACTCCTGTTTCTGGGAGTGAACCTCTCCTTGTGGGCAGCCGTAAAGCCGTGCCGTTGTGAAAGCTGCCTTGTGCTCACAGGGCCAGCTGGTCGCAGTGCATCGTCCCCCTGTGAACATGGGGAGTGGTGTCCGCAGGGCGGCTGGTGGACGGCAGTGCGCCCTGCTGTGCCTGGGAGCTGTGCACCGCGCTGCCGTGTTTGGTCTTTAGCGTTGCAGAATGGGCTTTGTGAATCGAGGCACTGGAACTGTGCTGGCAGCCCAGAGCCTCCTCACAGCCCTCAGTCTTATTCTCCTGTTTTCAGGACACCCTGCGAGACTGCGATCAGGAATCCACCTGCTACAACACCGTCATCTCGCCCATCTACTTCGTCTCCTTCGTGCTGACGGCCCAGTTTGTCCTGGTGAATGTGGTGATAGCCGTGCTCATGAAGCACCTGGAGGAGAGCAACAAGGAGGCTAAAGAGGAGGCAGAGCTCGAGGCAGAACTGGAGATGGAGATGAAGACCATCAGCCCTGGCCAGCACAGCCCCTCGGACATCTTCACGTGGATGGGCGGCGTTGGTGGCGAGAGGCCCGAGAGCCCCCATGGATGCCCCCATCCCCTGCAAATCAAGGTGGATTCTCAACTCTCGTTAGTTTACCCTATGGTGAGAAGCTTGGCTGGGGGGTGTGGAGGGGCTGCCTTGTGTTTCTGCTGGGGGAAGACGTGCACGAGGGGTAGTGAGGGAGCAGGGATGCCATGCTGCGAGGTTTGCGTTCCTCTCTGCTCTGTGGGGCACCCCAGGAGGAAGCACGGGGCAGGGCTGCAGCCCACCATGGTGCGCAGAGCTTTGCAGTTTGTTCTGGAGATGTGCCTGAGCTGCCCCGTCCAGAGCTAAACTCCAAATTAGCTCTAATGCAGAGTCTGGGCTCGGCCCTTTGTGAGAGCAAAATTACGAGCATAATAAGTTTGCTTTTCTAATGCCGGCCACGAACCGCAGCATAAAAGGGGAATGGAACTTGGCTAATCTTTGCTTAAGTATTAAATTTGTTTTATAGAATCTCAATTGAAAAGCCACCCCCATGATTGAGCTCATGAAAAAACGCTGTTAACAGTGGGATAATCCAGGGCTCAGCAGAGCTGGAGGCAGCGGGCAGCAGAGCAGGCTCCCAGCCCTGCGTCTGCATGGAGCTCAGCGTGAGGGATGGGGAGGTGAGGTCATGGCCCAGACGTGTCCCCTGGGAGGGAGCGGTGCTGGAATTATGCAAGAACGTTGCTCCAGCCCTTTTTTTAGTCTTAGCTGATGGCGGATCGGGTTAAACCCTACACAGAGCTCATTAGCTTTTATTACATCATGATTTCACAACAGCGTATCTTGACCTCTGCCTGGGTGGACTAATGAGTATTTTAATGCATGAAAAATTCATTTATGATCTTTAGTCCAAGAGTGAGAAGAGTAAATCTCTGCGTAAGCTTTGTTTCAGTTTCTAAGCTACCGGCAGTTTCTGGTTCCATTAGGAGCCACTGCTGTCAGAGATGGAGTCCAGAGCTGCTCCTTGGCACACAAAAAGGAGTTCAGGGCAATATGGGGAAATCCAGACTCATTATATTCTCGAGGAAGAAATAACATGCCCCAACTGCTGCTGTGCACGTTGAGTAGAGCGCTGGCAAACCATCCTCAGCTCTATTGCCGTGCAGCAGTCCTTGCACTGGCAGAAAGGGAAACTGCAGAGCAGCAGGAGAACTCGCTGAGGGTGCTGTCAGCCATTGAAGCTGTCCTTCTGAGTGTGGCTTATTCTGGTCAACATCTCTGGAGCATCTCTCTTGCTCTTTCACCCAAACAAAGCCTTCGTAAACCTCTGGGAGATTTCACTCCAATTATTTATTGTGCCAGCCAAACTCTTCAGGAAAAATCTGATGCCTGAGCACGGCAGCAGAGGAATGCAATTCCCAGGACGTGACCCTGCGAGGACTGTGGTCAGCATGCTCTTTTGCTTGCCTCGTCCCTGGGATTTTTGCACTGTGTGCTGACTGTAACGGCAGTCCTCATTGCGCTGTGCACACCAGGCATTCGTACATGGGAAGTTCAGCCCTCAGATTGCTGCCACGCTGCCTGTGAAAGCTGGGTCTGTGCCCTGTGATGCTCCCGCTGTCTGTGCTGAGGCAGAAGGTGGCCAGGACTGTGGGAGGCCTCAGCCCACTTGGTTTGGCGTGTGGCTGTGCAGGGCGTCAGCAGTTTTTGTGGGCAGGATGCTCAGTACCTCCTCGAGTCGGGTTATTTTAATCTGCGTCACTGAGGCGTTAAACAAGAGGTTCTCTTTGCTCAAAACGTGCTCTTGGGGCACACAGACCTCAGAGCAGGAGAGCAGAACCCTGCAGCTCCCATCCCAGCTCTGCGCTGCCCGCGGGGTCGGAGAAAAGCTGCCGCTGCTCACTGCGATATTACTGCACTGTTCTCTCTGCCGCACATTGCCCGTCCTGTTGTTTGTTACTGCTATTCTCCATTAATGTTTGTCTTTTTTCTTCTTTCCCTTCTATCCTGTTTTCTTTTTTTTCTCTCCCTTTTACTCGTTTGGGTTTTCCACACTGTCCTTTTTTTTCTCTCTGTCTCCGTCCCTCTCTTTGCTCGGCCCTTCCCTTCTGCATGCACACACCCCTCCTAGGAAAGGCACTTGTTTGATACCATATCCCTGCTGATCCAGGAGTCTCTGGAAGGAGAGCTGAAGCTGATGGACAACCTGTCAGGCTCTGTGTGCCATCACTATGCCCTCCCTGCTCCCGAGTATTACAACTCTGAGAACCAGGTTAATATTCCTTTCCTGCAAAGTCTCCATCCAAACTCAATTTCACTGAGACCTTTAATAGAGAGTCAGAGTTCTTTGCTTCGTGTAATGCAGTCACAGGGGTTTTGAAGGATCGTTCTGTGGGCGTTGAGGTAATATCTGATTTTATGAAGCGCAGTGCGAGAGGAGAATCACAAGCTTTGAGTTTCTGTCTCCAGTGCAGAGAGAAGCTTTTCATTGTACGTACTGCTCATGAGTGTTGTAAGGAGAATGCAGCACCCTCCGGTGGGGTTCTTGTGTTGGCTTCTTGCTCCCACCCGGAGCTGGGAGGACAGTGTGAGCTGATCCAGAGGAGAGCCTGAGCAGGGGGGGATCAGGAAGTGATCTCTGCATTTCACTCCTACTGACAGGAGTCAGTAAAATCCAGTTTTGAATGCTTTTCCTAAAGAGGCTTCTTGCAAGTGGGTCAGTGTGAATGAGATCCTCATCTCTGATCTGCGCTGAGCTCAGAGGCGAGGCAGCCCCTAATGATGTCCTCAGGCAGCAGTGTGCTCCAGCACTTTCTCGAATAGGAGCTGTAGTACTCGTTTAAAATTAGTTCATTTACTTAGAATAAAAACCCTTCTTTTCCAAGCACGCTATTCTCCTGAGCAAATATTTCCCCTCGCTCACAGCAGCAGCCATAACAGCAATTCAAACATGCCTTTTTCTGCATTTGGAATTGGGCAAATTCCTTATTTCTCCATTTCTTTCTGGCTCCAAATAGCAGGATTTTCCTTGCTAAATCGCTGTGCTTATTTACGAGCTCCCAACGCTCGAAATTATCCACCTTGGAGGTTCATTAGGGACAAGTGTTGGTAAGGAGCAGAGCTGCGTCCCTCGGAGCTGTGCTGGGTGGCTCAGGCTGGCAGGCAGGGCAGCGCGGCGCTCATCAGAGCTGCTTGGGAAGCTGCTGTCACAACTGTGCTCGCAGGAAGTGCTGCTGCAGCAAAAACAGGCTCCTGTTTGACGTTTTTATGTAATGAAAAAATATAGCGCTTTGCTTTGCAATGACTTTTCCTTTGAAAATTTAAGCTAGATTTGTATTTTTTTTTCTTGCTGCAATTAACAAACCTATAAATCATTTGGATATTTCCCACCAAATGTTTTGACTGCCTCAAACCCAATTCTGGGAGATGGGAGGCTGTTTTGTTTACCTTTTGGCTTTCCTGCTCGCAGCATTTGTCACGTTCTCAGGGCATTCAGGAACACGGAGCGGCACTGAAAGCAGCCTGGTGTGCACAGCTCCCTCCTGCCAACCCCAGTGCCCACTGCCATCCCCATTTGGGATCACCATCCCTGTGCTGCTGCTGTCCCAGTGCTGCCTCTTTGGGCCCCCGTGGGAAGTCAGGAGGAACTGCAGAGCGTCTCTCATGCGTTGCCCACGGGCATCCCATGGAGCTCTGGGGAGAGGCTTATTGCAGCCACTCACAGTTTGTTTATCACCAGCTTTATTTCAGCCCACCGATGTCAATTTCTTTGGAGCGAGAGAGTCCAGCCCTGGGATAACTCAAGAGCAGCCAATCTGGGCCTCTGTGCTTTCTGCTGGAAAGCACAGTGCTGTTGAAAGACTTCTCAAATATAGAGGGTAGGGGAAAGCAATGCTCAGGGATAGCTGGGAAACAGAAGGAATTTGCTGGGATGCCCATGACGGTGTGGGGGTGTCTGAGCTGCAGGCGACCCATGGCAGGAGGCACAGGGACTGCAAACAGACCCAGCACAGGGGTGTTCTCTCCCCAGAGCACAGCGAGGGCAGCCCCTGCACCCCTCACAGGACACTGCATGGAGGGCAGGGGGTGGCACAGCCTCTTGTGCCCGACCCTAATTGGGAGGGCGGATGGCACCCATAGGAAGGTAATGTTGCTTTTGCCACTTCACTTAGGCAGGAGGACACCAGCACGCAATGCTAGCATTAGTGTATGCCTTTAAACTCCCTCACAACTCCTTGGTAAGCATTTAAGTACAAATGTTCCACTTTTCTTGTCATTTCTTTGTTATATTCCGTTTCTTTAATGTTCTGTCCCTGGTAACAATGTGTATGATGTAGCTGCTCCCACCGCAGGGATATTGCTTTAGTGTTTAGAAGTGTTTAGATTATGATACTTTTTTCTCTGAAGATTTGTGTCCTGGTTTCTTATGCTTAATCATCTCTCCCTTCAGATCCCTCTAGCTGAGATGGAGGCTCTGTCTCTGACGTCAGATATTCTCTCTGAAAAGTCCTGGTCCTTAGCTCTGACGGATGACTCTTTTCCTGATGACACTAACACACTCTTACTTAATGCTCTGGAAAACAATGTACATACACTGGTCGCTGTACGTTCTGATGTTTGCAGGGTTTTAAATACTGCGTTCTCCTACACCTGCCTAATGGCATTCGTAGTCCCTGCCCGTGTGCCAGTAGCACCAGCCTTCCCCCGGGCAGGACAGTGTCCTTAATGCCATTAGGACGTGGGCTATTACCACTCTTGAGGTAATATGATGGCCACAGAGTTGGCTCCTCATGAGGAACAACCGTTTTTCTTTTTTTTTTTTCCCTTGGCGTCATCTGTAAAACAAAGTGTTTTCTGCAAGTAAAACAAATAGTCAAAAAAATGCATTGGAAAGCGTCAAGGTTGAAATTTCCTCTCCATGTGAAACCAATCAGTGATGCTGTGTGGAGGAGACGCCCACAAGCTGACGATGCCCATGTCCTCTGCAGAGGGATGGGCTGCAGCCCGTGGCCTTGTGAGAGGTCCTCATCTCAGCCAACAGCAGCACCGTGGGCTCAGTGCCTGATTGCAGCCAGTTTGTGTCGCAGATACCAGATGGGGATCTCTGAGATGCTGCTGCTTTGGTGGTAGCATCATCTCACTGAGAAAGAGAGAGAGCTGGGATCGCTCTGTGCCTTCCTGAATGAAACAACCAGTATTTTGAACCCTGCCTTAACCATCTCCTCTTTGAAACATGAGACATTTTTAGCTGTGTAGCAGTCCAGTGCTTTTCTCTGCTGTACAGCAGCTCCTCTTCCAACATTTTTGGGCCATTCTTGTTTTCCTTGTTGTTGTTCATGTAGCTGCCGTTGGATGTTTGTGTCGTCGATAATTTCTCTGCCATTCTAGCTGGTTGTCATCCTAATTAGTACTTCTTTGGGAAACGCCTCCAAAACCGTGACGATATTTCCCATCATGCTTCATGGCATCACGTGCAAAAGACTTTGTAAGTTGCCTTTGTGTGCGGCACTTTGTTTGGAGAAGCTGAGAGAAGCATTTGGTGAGGCTCAGCCAAACAGCTGGCAGCAGGAGGGTCTCGGGACGCAGCCTAGAGGTGCCTGTCCTCAACAGAAGGGGAGAAAAGGGCAGACTGAGCTGCTGTCAGTGCCAGCACACGTCCTGCTCAGAGCGTCTACCCCAAATCCTGCAAGCTTCTGTCAAAATGCTTTTCTTTTTTCGGTGTTTTTACACTTCCCTTCAGCACAGCTTTAGCTGAAAAACACCTCAGACACAATGTTTTGTTTGACTCCAAATAGATTTGGTTTGGGATTTTTTTTTTTTTTTTTCCTCTTTTTGGTTTGCAGAAGCTCCAGATTTGCCTTCCAGCCAAACCAAAACAACACATCTGTGAAAAGTGCCAGGGAACAGAGAGTCACGCGCTGCCGGAGCTGCGCTCAGAGGGTCGTTTTTCAGCCATTCCCAGTGGTTGTGGTGCAGCTGAGCTGTGAGGTTGGCCCCGGGAGGAGCAGAGGAGGCAGGCAGTCACTCTGTACATACAGGTTGTCTTTGGACAGGAGCTTGAATCCAAATTCTCCAGTTCAAACAAAACAGTCTTGAATTGGACGCCTCTGCTTGTAGGCCATCTTTTTTGCTTTAAGTGAAATGATATGAAAGGTAAATACTGCTCTTATGGGGAGGGCAGGAGGAGGAGTGGAGAGGGCTCACAGCCATCAGCTGCAGCAGCGCAGGGCTGTGCTCTGCCCAGGTCGGGTCCCATGGGATGCATTGCACAGCTTCCCCAGGGCTGAACGTGAAGCTGCAGTGATGCAGATCTCTGTCCATCAACTTGATTTTTCTTTTCTTCTTCTTCCCTTCTTTTTTTCCTTTTTTTTTTTTTTCCTTTTTTTTTGTAAAATTCATTTAATCTCGTTATATGTTCTTATGCAAATGAAACGGTGCAGTGAAATTTCATTTTTACGACTAGGGGAGAAAATCAGAAAAAATCAGGCCTGAGTTTTTCCAGTAGTGCTCGGCAATGCGTTGTATTAACTGCAATGTCACATCTGATTTCTGTGGTTTTCAAAGGAAACCTTTTAAGGATGAGATAATTATTCTGTTAGGACTGCACAGGGCAGCTGGCTGAGCTTCCATTTTTCCTTACTGTCACACATGAGAATGGATGGAGATGTATTTCCTTATGAAATCACGCCCAAATTGTAGCCCATTCGATATTGCATCTGGTGCTGCCTACTCCAGCAGACTCTGGCTATAAAAACTCCGCAGTCAACACGTGCACAATAACCTCTGCTGCTCTCAGATCCCTTCTAATTTGAGGATGGCTTTAGCCCCAAAGCAGTAGGTTTACATTTCCCTTTCAATAAAACGGGTTTAGTTATTCAGTGTGTGAGAAGACAACCGATGAGATGGTGCTGGCAGCCAGAATAGAGGACGTTCTCTGCAAACTGCTTCTGGTGAGGTTTTGCCTTGTTGATTTTTTTTTTCGCTAGGAGAGGAAACTGCTCGCCTTTGTAAAAGCCTGGCTTTCTGATGAGGGCACACAGAGGAGAGGCAGCCTTATGGTTATTGCAGAAGATGAAAGTCATGCAAAGCATGTGACTGCTGCCGGCCTTGAGGCATGATGCCTTCTTCACACCCCCGAAATAGTCATGGTTTACTCCTGCGGTGTCGCTTCCTCTGTTTCTGTGGTCCATTCCGTGTGGCAGTTTACCGACGGTGCGAAGGAGGGGTTTAGCTTCCCAGTAGCTCCATTTGTGCCACCCGTGCATCCCGGCCATGTGCATGCCCATCGTGCCACATGGTTGCAATGGCTGTCGCTCGCGTCTCTGGGCGCTGCTCTGACGGCGCGGCCTTGCTGCTCCCTCACTGCCTCTCTCCCGTAGGCCGAGCTGCGCTGCAGGGACGCCGCGCTGACGCCGTCCCCCTGCCAGGACCTGCTGAGCGTCAGGAAGCCGTCGGTGGGCCGCACGCACTCCCTGCCCAACGACAGCTACATGTTCCACGCGGCCCAGCCGCGCTGCCGGCCCAGCATCACCTCCCTGCGCCACGGCAGCCCGGCGCAGCGCAAAGCGCACTCAGGTATGGCTGCGCCTCCCGCGGCCGTGGGGCTCTGCACCGTGGTGCAATGGGGTTCTCTGAGCTCGGGGATACCAAGGTGGGCTCTGTTTCCTGTCTGTGTGTCCGGACCTGTGGAGCGGCCCTGCAGAGCTCGCAGAGCTGTAGGATGGCTGAGCTTGTCGGCTGCTGCCTAAGCTCCATCTGCCTCCTTTGGGCAGAAGCTCCTGCAGAGCGATACGTCTGTGTGCTTGTTTGCTGCAGTGCCTGTTGCAGCAGGCTCTGAAAGCTCTGTGCAGGAGTTCTGTGAAAGAAGGGAAGATGGTGTCTCTCAGTGCCTGCAAAACAAACTTAAACGTGCTGAACAGAGAGAGATCTCGGTGGGTGGGGGTGCGTAGGATCGTCCTTGTCGGGCTGTGGGGTTGGGATGCACGCCTCGGAGACAAGCTGAGGTGTTCTTAGGTGCAGCGTGCTGCAGGCACCGAGGGCTCTGTGTGCACCTGCGCCTGCAGCTGCCTCTCATCGCCGCACCTCCAGCTGTGGGGCTGCCCCCCAGTGCCGCACGGCTGCCTCCTGCGCTCAGCTTTGCTCCTGGGAGGCCGTTGTTCCACGCGTTTGTCGCAGATAAGGCAGAGAAGTTTTTACAAGTAGCGTCATTGGAAAGCCTGAGAGCAGAACATCAGTTCAGCCCTGTTCAGAATGCTGGGAGATTTGAGCAGATTAGAAATAAGATGTTGAAATTTGCATAGTAATAAGAACTCGGATGAATAGCGGCTGTTGAACAGAATGAAAGCAGAAAGAAAATGTGGATGCGATGGAGGAAGCTGAATCTGGAGTTGTGAGGAATCACTGCCACAACACACAGTTCTCAAGGTCAAGGGCTGTCCTCTGAGGAATCTGTCTGTTCATAATGCAAAAGTTGAGGCTGAAATCCTGGTCAAATCCCACTGAAAGCAAGAGTGGAGCTCCTGTACCTTTGGTGGAGCCGGCATGTATGGCTCTCTGTGACAGCCAAGAAATCACAGTCCCTGGCCATACAGAAAATCCTGTTTGCTGCAGAAAGAGTTCCTAGTGCTGCGCTACTGACCCTTAATTTGGACACGTTCGTCCTGTCTAGAGCAAGAATTATGTCAAGAACAAAAAGGGGGTAATTTCTGGGTCCCATTTCAAGGCAGCACTTCTCAGTTCCACCAGGCTCCCTGAGCAGCCCCGGCTTGCTGAGGTAGGCATTGCTCCCTGGAGCACCACTGGAAAAACGGTACCACATAGGAGAAGCGTTTTGGAAAGGTAAAGCTGACATCTGTCTTGTTCACAACTCTGCCGAGCAGTCAAAGCTTCTGCATTTTTCTCCTGCTGGTGAAATTCCAGTTGCCTGGATGGCGCCGAAGTGCTCCGAGTTGGGTACGGTGCCCAAATCTTGGCACGTGCACCTCGTCCTGTTCCCTCTGCAATGTCACCGCTGCTGGGACAGGGCAGGTCACCCCACCTGTTCACTGTCTGTAATATTGCAAAGTGCTGTGAAGACAGCAAAAGGTGCCAGTCGCCTCTAATAAATCACCGCAACCGAGCCACAATATTTCAAGCTGAGAAAGGTTTTGTTGTCAGAAACACTGGCGCTCGCAGGAGGTATTTGTTTGAATACTCCTTCGTAATGGGGCTGTTGTTCTGGGAAAGATTCCAGGACAAATGAGATTCTCTGGGATTCGGTCCAGGTTAAATGAATTGTTTTGAAAAATGTTGAGGCTGTGGGGGGGAGCTCGCAGAGCTTCAGACCTTTCAGAAGAAGCAGCAAGCAACCAACGAGGGTCAGAAGGAGGCCACACAGTGCCCGTTTCCTTCTCCAGGGCTGCGCTGCAAAGCCAGCCTTGCTTGCTGCCAGGTCACTTTGCTGCCATGTGAGTCCCAGCATCTGTGTGGTGTTGGGATCAGTGCAGGCACACTCTGCGTGCGCTCTGGTTTGGGGACATCCTTTCCAGAACCTCTCAGGGGCACATCCCTGCAGGGCTGAGATGTGCGGGTGCCTGCAGTCGTTGGCCCTCGCAGGGATGTGGATGTTGCCATTCCAGATGAACTTCTAGTTCATCATCTCCTGTTCTTTACGGGAGCTGGTCCCAGCTGGATCGGGGGAAAACGCCAAGAAAAATGAAATAATAGACTATTTTGGAATAACTTATTAATAGGTGGGAGTTTTTTCCAACCATGGAGAGCTGCTTGTTGAATTGAGCGCTCCTACTGCGCCTGTCTCTGGGGTGCAAAGGGGTTTCCTCCGACAGGACCCTGAGACAGGGCAGCAGTCACAGGGGGACGCGTCACATTCCTCTCTTTTCTTCCTCCTGCAAGGTTCAAAGGCGTCGGTGCAGTCGCAGCCAGCAGACACCAGCTCTCTCCTGCAAATTCCAAAAGACCATTTCCACCACGTGAGAGCTCGCGATCCATTGGTCAGGGAGGGAAAAGCCCCGGCGGCCGCCCCCATGCACTCCCCTTCTGCAGAGAGGCTGCTCCGCAGGCAGGTAAGCAGAACCAGGGCCACCAACTTGCTTGGGTTTTGTACTGCTGTGTTTCCAGGTTACCCACGCTTTAAATTCATGAAGGGTTCACAGAGAAACCTCAGGAGAACTGTAATTCTCCTGCAGAAATAACGAAAAGGTTGATGGGTTTTGATGTGAAAGCCATCCAGGAGCCTCCAAAGGATGTGAGCACTGTGCAGCATCTCCTCTGGCAACGTGCCTGAAGGTTCCCCGCAATGTTTGCACTTCATTTCTTTGGGTCTCTTCATAACTGCAGCCAAACGCTCCCCAGGGCCTTGTTGGGGTTAAGGAACTAATTCTTCACTGCTGTGATGTTCTCAGTGCTTGGAAGGACACGGTGACTGCAGGCTCCATCCCAGGCTGCCCTTCCTCTCACTCCTCTCAATTCTTGAAAGGGGGAAATTGCTTACAGGGCACCTCACTGCGTGCAAAGCCACCATGGAAAGCACGTTGTATTTACAGCAAGAATTGGAAATTAGGATCCTTTCAAATCTCCTACGTGCTTTTGAAAAGGTTGAGTATATGCAAAACAGAACTTGTTCTATTTTGTAACTGGTTTTATCTCGGTTATTTTGCCTGGCATTGATTTAAGTTCTGATTCAACCAAAGATCTGAGAGATGTAATCGCAGATTCCAGTCTGCCTGATTGGAAACACGACTTTAAATTCGTCCTTTTTAGTGGAGTACTTAAACTTGTGCTTCACTCTCACATTTTAAAGCACATTTCATTGTGCTGTTGGTGCATCTGATCCCCATGGTCTGCTTTCTTCAAGAGTTTTGTGTCCTATTTCATCTGCACAGAATACATCAGTTTGATTTTTTCAAAAATATCTTCTTTACTGCGTGAAAATGTTCCCACTTCTTTCATCTTTTAATCAACATTGACAAATTAGACAGTTGATTCATTAAGCTCTAAAAATGAATGCAGAGTACCAAGATTAACAATTACATTAGTCTGCAATGCTAAATTGACATAAGAAATTCCTAGCATGTCTTCTTTGCGGAGGGCTGGCCAGCTCCCCCAGTCACTGCTAATAGGGAAACTAATTGATGTCATGATTCCAGTTCATAACCACTCTCTCTTGCTTTCTAATGAATAACAGACCCATCTTTTTCAATTGATCTCTCTAGAATAAATTACCCTGTTAGCCATCTCTCTCGGCCTAATTTTGTTCACTTTTCTGAAGGCTTCTCCTTCTAAACCCCTTCATACATTTAAATCAATTTATGCCCCTCCCTCCTCTTCCTGCTCGTGCAGTGGCATCAGCACGCTCTTGGAGTGACCTTTCAGGAAGAAAAAAGCTTTGGGCTGGTGAGCTTCGGATAGGGAACTTTGGGTGGTGAGCAGGCAGGTCTGTGGGCCATCCGCATCCCCTGAACACCAGTAAGCTGTTGCCTTGTGCTTGCTCTCGTGTAGCACCATTAATAGGAGTAGAATAGTAGTGGGTTCTGGCCACAGACTTGATTTCTGTTGGAGTTAGTTGTGATCTAGGTGGCCGTGCATCGTGAAACTTTGTCTCTGAAGAAGCAAACTCTCTTTGCTGTTCACAGCAGTTGTGATGCTCAGATGCTCCCGCTTGGCTCCTGTTGCTGCCCACACTGATGTGCTGCTGGCACATCCCTGTAGCTCAAGCCAGCAATGCAGTTTGATTTGCAGTACCCATTTTTCCTTATTGTTACTTACACTGCATGTAATTCTGATTTTCATTTCTTTTTTCTTTTTCTCTCCTCTCCCTTCCCTGTTGTCCCCTCTCCTGTCCTAAATTTGTGCTTAGATAAATCTTGTCCACCACATCCCTGGTCCGTGCACTTTCCTCCACCACTGACACGTGTGTTTCACCTCCCTTCCCCTCCAGCGTGCTGTAGGGTGGACAGTCCCCCCAGTAACACTCCATTTAGACTGGAATGTTTGGCAATTAGCAATGCACGCACAGACGAAGCTGTGAGATGCTTTGGGTGAACACAGAGCCAAGCTCCCGCAAGGAACGTGCTCCTTGGCACTGCTCAGATGCTGTTCTCCAGGGAAATTCTACCTGAACCTAAAACTACATTGATTTTCTGGCTCCAGGACTGCGTGCCCGTGGTGTAACCTCACTGGGGGTGGACGCACCATTGGGATGGCATAGGGTCCTTCTGTCGTGGAACAAACCAATAAGACATTTCCACCAACAGTTACTGCTAACAGCTGCCACAGAGGCTGTAGGGACAGAAAGAACCGGCACTGCCCTTTGTGCGCAACACAGGTTGGTGTACAAGCAAAAGTAATGACAAGAATTACTTTTTGCAGCCGTGTTCTGCTTTTTGGTGCTCTGTTTCCCTTCCCAGGATGTGAATGTGATTCCTGCCCCCAAACACTCCTTAACTCTGTTGGCTTCGAGGAGTGCAGAATGAGCTCCGCTCTCAGGTGTGGTTGGTTACCAGCGTGAGGCTGTGAAACTGTGACTAGAAGGGATTGTTAGCTGGCATTGGACAAAGTGATTTGGCATATTGAATGTTCTCTCACAGACAACAAAGGAAGGCACTGCGCAGGTGTGAGAGCAGTGCTGCTGTGTGCACGTATGTCTGTGCTGCAGCTGAGGAGAGCTTTGCCTGAACAGAGATCATTTGGCTCAAGCAGTCCTCATGGGACAGCTTTTATAAAAATCCTGAGATCGTTTTGGGGGCAATTTGTCACAAAAGCACTCCTTAAAATGAGGAATTTCATCTCCTTGCACTCCTCTAAAGGGCTGAGACCAGCTGGAGGCATTTCCTCCAAATTTCTTGATGAAGATTTTAATCTTTAAGATAATTTAAGAATCATCTCAAACCGAGACACTGCCTTTAAGGGCCGGTTAATGGGGCTGATTTATAATCCTTTTTGGCAAGGGATGCAGTGCAGAGGAACTGCAAAGCCTTCAAGCCACGCCGTAGGCACTCTTGGCCAGCAAGCACCGATGTTGCATATGGCTCAAAACAACCAAGTTAAAATGTGCCTTAGGAAGTCTGGGCTGTCAGAATAGGTAGAAGTAACTACAGATGCCCTAGTCCAGCTTCTGCAGCTCTCTTCAAGCTCCCCTGTCTAAGGTGGTGCAGAGTTGTGGTGCCTGCACGGGACAAAGCTGTCCCAAAGGTGGACTTGTGCTGCCACCTGGGGTGGGCACAGACGTGGCTGCTCTGGTGTTGGTGGCTCTGGGGATCTTGCTCCATGCCCTCAGCATCGCCTGAGCTGGAGAAAGGAATGCACAGGTTCCCTTGCACATCTTCCCTCTCCCACTCCTGTTTGTGCCCCTAAGATTTCAAAGGAGTTTGCCATAGACCCTCATCCTTTGGATAACCAGGATGCTGGTAGGTTTGGCTGGGGGCATTCTGTTTTGCAGTCCTGCATCCTTCCAGGGGAAAGATGAAGGTCAACCACTTATGAAGAATAAAGGGCCAAAATCTGCTGTCTCTTGCACAGGGATAAGCCCACATATCACTGTAGGAACCAGCGGGTCCACACTGGGGTATCTCCAGCAGAGCTGCATGCCCTGTGAATGCTGTGCCTTGCCTGTACTAATCTTTGTTTGGTCTGTCTCTCCCATCTGGCAACTCCCCTCCTCCCGACACTCTGTGCAGATGGCCATAAGGAACGACTCTTCGGACAGCAAGGAGAACCTCCCCGCCGAGCTGAGTGAGCTCCCCGACCCCGATATCCCCAGCACGCCCCAGGAGGAGTCACCAGCTGCTCCGACCCCCTCAGAAGGAGAAGATTTGGCTGCGTGGAGCCGGGCAAGCATTCACACACAGCAGCATTCCCACAATCAATATAACGTTTCAAAGCAGGCACCAGCATCGTGTGCTCGTGCGGACTCTTATCAGGAGACGCCTGGAGACTCAGTGGACCAAGAAGTGTCTGAAACAAACAGCTCCTCGGAGCCCTTCCCTTCTGAAACTTGCACAGCCTCGAGTGCCTGTTCAGAGGCACAGCCTCTCACTCCTAAGAGGAGCATTGGCAATACCGGCAGTGTTACGTTGAAGGACCTGAAGAAATACCACAGTGTTGACACCCAAGGTCTTCTAAAAAAACCACCCTCTTGGTTGGATGATCAAAGGAGACATTCGATAGAAATCTGCTCCATGGAAAACAGCCCTGAGCACCATTCCACATCTAGCTCCTCTGGCTTCATAAGTCAAGTGGTAAGTGAAATGGAAGGCTTGCAAGGAACTCGGCAGAAGAAAAAACTGAGTCCTCCGTGTATATCTATAGACCCACCCAGCGAACAAGGCTTGCTGCCCAGAGGACCTCACAGCATCTCACCTGCCGGAGGAGACACCTGCCTGAGGCGGCGCGCTCCGTCCTGCGATTCCAAGGACTCGATGGATATTGGGGATTCGTTGCTTCCAGACAGCATGTCAGCATCTCCTACCCCAAAGAAAGACTTGTTGACACTTCCTAGCTTTTCCTTTGATCAGAAGGAGATGGAGCCCTGAGTTACTTTTCTGTTGGTGCCAAATGTTTTCTTCCTGTCATGTAATAGAAAAACAAATCAGAAAAAAGGAAAACAAACGAAAAAAGAACTGTATTCCAAAATGGCACTGGGTAAAATATTTCCAAAGAAGGATTAAAGAACCAGCTGGTTAAAGGAGGGGTTAACCTATATCACGCTTACTTAAGCATACGTTCTGCTTAGGTAAAAGCAATACAATGTGCAGAATCTATATGTATATTATATTTTATTAAATTAATTGAATCTAGTATTGCGAGATGTAGTACATTTTGTGACTAAAGACTCGTTTGATTTTCCTCTATTTTATGTGTCTCAGAATATTTCTGAGATCAAGTGGGTTTATATGAACATTTTAACCTTAAAAATATATATTTGATCCCTTCTCTTTTTTTTCTTTTGTTTCGTTTGGGTTTCATTTTGTTTTGCAAAGCACAAAATGTAGCCAATTAGTGCATTACGGAGGAAACGTATCCTACAGTCAGCAGTAAATAAGAATTATTTAATGTAATTTATTTTTCCCCTTGGACTCGAGTCATTTTCTGGAGAACACAAAAATGCGGTAGCGTTCTTTTCTGACAAAATGAATTCCCACTCTTGCATAAAATCGGCATCCAGAGGAAAAGCAAGTGCACGAAGCAGGAGCGTGCAGCGCCGAGGGCTGGGAGCGCAGAGCCGGCCGAGCTGCAGGCGGGAGCTGCGCGGTGCTGACTTGGAATGGGCTGTTTTGGAGTTCTGGATCGTCTGCGGGTGACTCACGGCATCACATCCGTGATCATCGGTGATGGTTTTGCTGTCTGCCTCGGGAAGCCAGCACAGCTGCCTGCAGGGCCTGCTCAGCAGCGCGGTGTCTCGGGCTGTTTCTGCAGTGCAGCCCGTTGCCCCACTGCCCTGCTGAGAGCCGTGCTGAGGTCCTTAAGTCATTGTTTGAAATTGCTGTTGAACAGAAGGGAGGCCTGCTGCAGTTGGCAAGTTGTCTTACAGAGCGCGTGTGAGGAGGTCTTGTCGGTACCAAAATGTTTGTTGGTTTTCAGCAGAAGTTTTTCCTGTCACTGCTGGAGTTAATTCACGTGAAGAACCTGATGGAAGTTTTATTTCCACCCTAGTGAAGTCCGTAAGCAGCAACTTTGTGCTGCAAAGCGTGCGGAAATGGAAGCCTTCATAGTCCTTCATGTGTCCTTCATAGCCCTCCTTAGTGTCAGCCACCTCCAAGCGGTCCGTTCTGTGCTGCTGGCAGAGCCAGAAGCCATGGGGATGCTGGGGACGCCCTGTGTGCCTCAGCCCGCTGCTCACAGGGCTGACAGGAGGCAGACGTGGAGCTGAGAGGACTCCCCAGATGGGGGTGAGGTGTGGGCTAAACAGGGCCTCGGAGGCACGGCTGTCAGTATGCAACCAGCTGCAGCCCTCGCAGGGAGACTTTGTTAGCTTCTCTCCTTGAACCCGCACAAGCCTGTGTTGGGTTTGAGCTCCTTTAGTCCCACCTGAGGAACTTTCCTCCGCAAGCACCGTCTGCGCCCCATAGAACGCAGGGCTGCGTGCTCAGCATGCTGTGCTGCAGGCAGGGCCACAGCCGGGTTGGTTCCCCTGTGTGCTGTGAGCCCAAACCCACCGGTGCCCAGCCCAGAGCAGAGCCCGTTTGGGGCGGTGACTTCAAACAAACCTTTCCTCAGTTCTTCCCCAGCTCACATTTAAGGAAACAATAAAATTACAGTGCGCTAAGCCTGGGAAATATTCTTAATCCCTTTTTGGTCTTACGCTCCTAATGAGCACAGCCTTTTCCTTTCGCATTTGCTGAATAATTTGGGAAAATACGACATTGCTGACCCCATTCCTTAACCATCGCTGCGGCACAAAGCGCTGAAGTGACGTTGATCCAAGCGTTCGGCCCCAAGCACAGCAGCACCCAAAGGCTGCTCTCTTGTCCAGCTTTGGGCTTTCGCCCCCTGACGCGGTTTGTGTGAGCAGCAAAAAGTTCACATTGCACGTGAATATTCAGCAAAGACCAGCCGATAAAAATGCCGCATGGTGACGCGTTCAGGAAAGGAGATCTGTGTAAAATAGTTTGTTTTCTAAAGCAGACGCGTTTTTTCTAGGCGCCCTTTTGAAAAACAGACTCCGATGTACTGCAGTGTGTGCAATAATCTTAAGAGAATTTTAAATACCTGCGGGGGGGTTTTATAGAATTTGACTTTTTTTAAACAAAATGTACAAAATCCACAGGAATTCCGTAGGACGGTTCTGTTGATAGATTTTTTTATATTTTTGTAGAAATCTATAGAGAAATTGTTAAAAGCCTGCGTAGCATCTTGGGAACAGGAGCAGCTCCATCTCTGCTTCCCCTTCCATAACCCTGGAGCCGGACCTGCTGTAGCGCAGCGCAGAGCTGCGTCCAGGCCGCGGTTATCTGCACTAACCCAGCCGAGGTTTGTGGTATCGCAGTGCCGTTCCTGTCACTCCATGAACCTCCCACCCCCAGAGCTCAGCCCGTGCCGGGGGCACAGCAGTCGCGTCGCTATCAGCTCCTTCAAGCACACCAGCACTTTATACTGTGGATTTACTGTAGGCAGACGGGAGGACGGCGTTCTGCCACTGCCAGGCTGACATGGGAGGAAGCAGAGACTGCGGATGTGTGTGGAGCAATGCCGATTCCAGTTTTGCAGCCCCTTGCACATAGGACTGACTTTTCTAGCTCGGTTCCAGGCCGTTGGTATTGCAGGTGTTTTGGAGGAGGGTGAAGAAAACGCTGTTTTTGACTTCTGTGGATTGCACTCAGCACAAGGCGTGTTCAAGGAAAAAGTGTTACGGTTGTAAATTAGGCTAAGCCCCAGTCTCCCCTTTTCTGCCCCTCTGGCTCTAATAACCCATGTACACTATTACACCAGGTGACTAGAGTAGGCACGGCACCGTTGCAACGTCTGTAACAACCTAGTGTATATGATAGAACTTTGTATTTACTAGTTAATATATTGTTATACTGTATCAGGTATAGAGGCCAAGACGAGGTCTGATGGTCAGGGCAACAAAAGGTGGTATTCGTGGGCAAAATCGGGTTCAAAAGTTCCTTTTTACAAAAAGAAAAAAAAGACAAAAAATGAGTGTAAATCTTTACAAATGACAAAAACAAATGTGTCCTATTAAAAGCTTTTGAAAAGAAAATAAACGTGCACTTCCTTTTGTCGTTGTTGTTGATGATGATGATGTTGTTCTGTGGCATTTGGACCCATCAAATTTCTGGCAATGATTTACCTGTGGGTGCTGCACGGCAGCTGCAGACATGAAGTTGAAGGCAGCGTTTGCAGCCTGACGCACAGCAGGCTCTGCTCCATCGCTCCTGCAGTGATTTGGGCTCCTTGCAAAGCAGGAGGTGCTGGTGCCACCCAGGAGCTGCAGGGCGGCACCCGGACATCACTGGGGCTCCAGCAGAACAGTTTGGCCCTAAACCTGTTTGGGCTCTGCAGGGAAGGAGGCAAGGAGCTGGGGCCTGCAGAGGGACAAACCCCGTGCCCAGCAGCTCCAGTGCCCACATGGTCACAAGAGGGATGAATTTATCCCTTTAACAAAGGGAAACAGTGGAGCTGTGCAAACTCCCGTGCGCAGCAGTGCAGAGCGGGGCCGGGAGGTGAGCTGTGTGCCCGGTGCTGTGCTGACCCCCAGCAGTGGGGCTGGGCTGTAAAGCAGTGGGAGCCCTTGGCTGCTCTCCGTGCACAGGTGAGGTGGGAGGAAATCAAAGTTTCCTTGTTGGGAGAGTTAAAATCTCCTATTCCTAATGCAGGGTTTCAGAGGATCTTTGGAGAGGAATTCTTTTACTGTTTTTCTGAATATTCCCTATGAGAAACTTTCTCGCTGATCTGTGCTTGTGGGTTTCAGAGGGCTCCCACCCTGGCACTTGCAGACATGCTCCCAAGTTGCCAGAGCCTGGGCACGGCGTTTTGCTGCTGTTTGGTGAGCAGGCTGTGCACTGCACGGAGCCGGGCTGTGCCTCGTGTGGTGGTGGCTGCATCCTGGGGAGCAGCGCTTAAAATGAATATTTGTCTGGCTCAGACCCTGCAGCAAAGCCAGTCTGGCCGCTGTCCTCCTTTCTGGAAGCAGTGTGTGCTCTGCCAAGCCCCGTCAGCATCTGCATGAGAAATGCAGGTTCTGTCTCTCAGGTGTTCAGAGACACAAACCAAGACACACCAACGATCTCAGACGCAGTCTGTACTCGTACGAGCACCTGAAAAAGAAAGAAAGAAAAAAACAGGTAGGAAAAAAAGCATTTGGAAGCCACGCGCCCGGAACCCTTCCGTCACCGCCCGCCCGGGGCCACGGGGGGGCGGCGCGAGGCGGCGCTCTGCTGCCACCTAGCGGGCACGGCCGCGGCTGCCGGCTCTGCTGCCCGGGAGCCCCTTCTTTCCCAGCTCGGTATCGCAGAAGCGCAATTTAAAAAGTAAAAAGAAGTGCTTTTATTTCAGCAGGGTTTTATTTCATCGGAGTTTTCCAGCCTCTGCACGGATAACCACTTCCCAGGGCAAGAGGAGAGGAAGGACGTCTCGCCTTGCCGCGCTGCCCAAGCCAGACTGATGCGCAGGGCCAGCGAGACGGCAGCGCCTCGTGGGTCGACCCCGGGGCCCCCCGAGCAGCGGCCGAGCGGCAGGAGCGGGGCGCGGGGCTCGACAGGACGCTCGCTGCTGGCCGGCTGTGCTGCTTTGCCCGTCATTTGATGGCGGCGCCGGCGCTGGGCTGGCTGCGGGCCGAGGCTGCACCTGAGCTCCGGTTGCGGCTGATGGGTTCGGGCCGTTCTCCGGTACGGTCGGTCACTGCCTCGCGGGGGTTTCCGCCTGTGAGGATTATTGGAGCTTAAGGGTGGGTTTTCCTGTTGTCCTACAGCCGCATGCTATGCCTGGAGATGTTTACAGCGCTGTAATAACACAACACCCTCTGGCGTTTTCTATTGTTGCTTAAATCACTGGGTGATACGATTGGACGGCTCTCAAGGTCCCGAATAGAGAATATTTCCATATGCATTTAATACTGCAAATGATGCAGCTAAAGACCCCTGCAGCTCCAGCTGGAAAAATGGAAATGATGGTTAAACCTCTGATGACATGCTGTACAAACAGTTACTTTATGGAAACCAAAGGCAGATCCCAGCTGTTGTGGGGCAGATCAGGAAGGAGTTAACATGGAACCGTTCCACAAAGCAAAGAGCTGCAGTGGATGGAGTGCAGAGCGGAGAGCAGAGCGGGGCAGGCGGTGCAGATCTGCCAGGTGTCACCATCTCAGCACGGCCAAGGGCTGCTGACAATTCCATTCCTGCACAGCAGGACTCTGTTTGCAGCAGCGTTCCCGCAGCCTCTCTTGTGTCCATTTTGGGGTGAAATTCAGCATTGCTCCAGCCCATGAAAACTAGGAGAGGCTTTGGGGCTGGCCAAGTTGCCAGGGGGAGAGGATAACCTCTGGCAAGTGTGTTTGGGGGCTGGGGTAGGACAGTTTGTGTCTTGGTGGCAATAAGCCCACATGCTGTTTGTCTGGGTTGATTGTTGGTCGCTCTAATCTCCTTCTGCAACCATACCGCCCACAAACTGAGGTGTGCTCGCCTGTCACTGGCTTGATTAATCTCTTTGCTCACTTAAAACTATGTGAAATTACCTAAGAGGTGACAGGGTGACAAACTGCATT